AGGTGGGTGGGGGGGGGTGGGTGGAATTTTATTTTTTTTCCTTTTTAGATTCTAGATAAACACGTGTAGGTAGTGTTTATTATTTTTCTAAAAAAATGGTGGCCAATGGTGGAAAGTGTATGTGTGTGTTAGTGGGAGGTGGGTGAAGGGGGTGGGGTGAGGATAGGCCCATGAATGTTAAGAGCGACAAAACTTATGACTAATGTCTCATGTGTTTTAAAATGTATAAGGTCCCAAGGACATTTATTAGCCAGGGGCTTATTTTATCCAACATCGAAGCAAGTTATCAAATCAAACCATAAATCACATGTTTGCTTTTACGTGTGTATATCCATCTTTATTAAGCCAATGAATAAAACATGTTTTGACATGTATTCTGTCTATATCGGTTTACATATACCTCATGTTTTGACATGTATTCTGTCTATATCGGTTTACATATACCTCATGTTTTGACATGTATTCTGTCTATATCGGTTTACATATACCTCATGTTTTGGTATGTATTCTGTCTATATTGTTGTATATCTGTATATCAGTGGCGTAGCGAGGTCGGGTGTCAACCGGTGCGGCACCAAATGGTGTCGACCCCCCACCCCGTAAGAAAAAAATGTGTATATATATATATATATATATATATTTATATATATACTCCATATACACTTGTAGTATGCGTATACGCATGTGTATATGTATTCAAATTTTTTTCTTCTGGATGTATTTAATTTGTTACCCCCCCCCTCTCAACTAAGCCGTTTTCCTCAGGCATATTTTGCAACGTTGAGTTGATATAACGAATATATATAACTCACCCCCCCCCCCCCCCCCCCCCCCACGGGGAATGCTTTAAACTGTGCTCAGATAATACTAACGATTTTTATCTATATTCGGTTATAAATGAATGTAACATATTTTCTCTATCATTAGCAGGTTTGCCCCATGGTGTCACCCCCCCCCCCCTTCTCCACCGGTGTCGGGATTTGTCAACTTTGTCAACATTTAATTCACTCTAATTAATCATTTAATTACGTAAAATTATCAATTATCTGTATAAGTATATTGCAATTTTTTGCCTTGATGTCACCCCCCCTAAATGGTGTCACCGGTGCGGTCCGCACACCCGCCCCACCCTCCCCTCGCTACGCCTCTGCTATATAAATAATACTGGTAAATACCTCATGTTTTGGTGTGTATTCTGTCTATATCGTTGTATATCTGTACAGAGTTTCTTCCAGGCATCTCTTCGTTTGGGCTTCGCCCCCCCCCCCCCCGAAATTTTTTTACCGCCCCCCCCCCGAACGAAATGAAATTTATATAATTTATATAGAAAAGATATACTTTTAACAGTGTCCGCCCCCCCCCCCCCCCGAAGAAAGTCTACCGCCCCCCCCCCCCCCCCCCCCGAAAATTTCAAGTGCCCCCCCCCCCCCCCGGAGAAAAAAGTCTGGAAGAAACACTGTATCTGTATATATAAAACCGATTTGCCCAGGTACGAGCGAGCCATAGATCTGAAGCAGAGAAACCCCACCTTGAAAGTCCTGCTTGCAGTTGGCGGGTACAACATGGCGTCCGAGCCTTTCACCAGCTTCGTCGGTGACCCGGCCTTGAGGGCAAAGTTCGTGGACAACTCCATCACCTTTCTGCGCAGCCGCAAGTTCGACGGCCTTGACATGGACTGGGAGTATCCGGGTCAAAGAGGAAGTCCTCCGGCCGACAAGAACAACTTGTTGTTCCTCATGCAGGTGGGTCATCGTGTGACGCGCTGTCACGTGGTTGGGGGGCCGTCAAACTGACGTCACAAGGTTAGGAATAATTTGAGTCATAGACTGACGGGCTTCCTCTTTCTTCGTTTTAGGGATTCTATCAGCTTCCCTTTTTTTAGATGCAAATATAAATAAATAAATTTAAATGAATAACTAAATAAATATATTTATGTACACACACACACACACACATACACACACACACACACACACAGAGAGAGAGAGAGAGACACACACACACATAGACACACACAGACACACACACAGACACACACACACATATATATTATAATGTTTTTCATATAACCAAGACATTCTTCTGACTTTAAATTAAATGTCACAAAAGCTCTTACTTTCTACACATAAGTTTGCAGCAGATCATAACAGTTGATCAAATTACACATGTAAGTTAAAAATGAAGATAAAATTAATTTGCTGCAAAAATTTTTCGGCCAGGAATTATGGCTGGCATATCGCGACGAGGCCCTGAGAACCGGTCAGCCACGTCTGCTGTTGACCGGGGCACTTCCGGCCGGCAAGGAAAACATCGATGCCGGCTACAACATTCCTGAGCTAGTGCCGTAAGTTGATATGGTCAGTTTAGTGGTCAGTTTAGTGGTCAGTTTAGTGGTCAGTTTAGTGGTCAGTTTAGTGGTCAGTTTAGTGGTCAGTTTAGTGGTCAGTTTAGTGGTCAGTTTAGTGGTCAGTTTAGTGGTCAGTCTGGTCATACCTGAGCTAGTGACGTAAGTTGATGTGGTCAATCTAGTGGCCAGTTTGTTCATACCTGAGCTAGTGACGTAATGTGATGTGGTCCATCTCGACACCACCACAAACAAACGTAACTTTTGAGTAACCCATCATCATCCCACATAGCAATCTTTACCTCGCCAATGATGTAAAAATTTAAAATAATTTTTTTTCTTGACACAATTAGAACACATATTGCCTGTTACGTAGAAGGTTTGTTAGTGTCTCAGATTCTCCTGTGACACGAACACCATGAGAATCAAATGACTTTCTGTTCAGGTACATTGACTTCATCAACGTCATGACTTATGACTTCCACGGCAGCTGGGAGAACCACACGGGCATCAACAGCCCGCTGTTCGCTCACCCCACGGATCTAGACGAGGACGCCTACCTGAACATGGTGAGTTGCACGTGCATGATTCATCCTGATTGGTTGACATGATGACATTATTGTACATGACAAATTTAGTAGACATCACGTTGTGTTGGCATCACAACCTTATTTGACATCACAAGAATAGTTGACAAACAATAGTTGACACCATAACATCATGACAACATCAATTAACATCACAACAATAGTTGCCATTAGATCAATAGTTGGCATCACAATAATAGTTGACATCACAACAATAGTTGACGCCATAACATCATGACAACATCAATTGACATCACAATAATAGTTGCCATTAGATCAATAGTTGGCATCACAATAATAGTTGACATCACAACAATAGTTGACGCCATAACATCATGACAACATCAATTGACATCACAATAATAGTTGCCATTAGATCAATAGTTGGCATCACAATAATAGTTGACATCACAACAATAGTTGACACCATAACACCATGACAACATAATTTAACATCACAACAATAGTTGCCATTAGATCAATAGTTGGCATCACAATAATAGTTGACATCACAACAATAGTTGACGCCATAACACCATGACAACATCAATTGACATCACAACAATAGTTGACGCCACAAGAATAGTTGTCATGATGACAGACGTGTTCATGAGAACTTTGGTAGACAGAATGACATAACCTGATCACAACTTGATCAGAGCTTGACCACAACATGTGAACGTAGGTTCGAGTCAATCAGTTCGGACAGGTCACGACTTGACCTCAAGAACGTAGGTCTGGGTTAACAACACATGTGAGGACTTGACGTTTTAGATTTAGGTTTGAGTTAAACCTTTAGTCCAGTTGAGTTAAACCTCAAGTCCAGATGAGATAAACATTTAGCTCAGAAGAGTTAAACCTTGTTGAGTTAAGCATTTAGTCCAGTTGAGTTAAACCTCGTCCAATAAAGTTAAACCTTAAGTCCAATTTGAGTTAAACCTTACGTCCAATTGAGTTAAACCTTTAGTACATTAAAGATAAACCTTCAGTCCAATAGAGTTAAACCTTAAGTCCAGTAGAGTTAAACATTCAGTCCAATAAAGTTAAAACTTAAGTCCAGTTGTGTTAAACCTTAAGTCCAGTAGAGTTAAACCTTCAGTACAATAAACTTAAAGCTTAAGTCCAGTTGTGTTAAACCTTAAGTCCAGTAGAGTTAAACCTTCAGTCCAATAGAGTTAAACCTTAAGTCCAGTTGTGTTAAACCTTAAGTCCAGTAGAGTTAAACCTTCAGTCCAATAGAGTTAAACCTTAAGTCCAGTTGTGTTAAACCTTAAGTCCAGTAGAGTTAAACCTTCAGTCCAATAAAGTTAAAGCTTCAGTCCCGTTGTGTTAAACCTTAAGTACAGAAGAGTTAAACCTTCAGTCCAATAGAGTTAAACCTTAAGTCCAGTTGTGTTAAACCTTAAGTCCAGTAGAGTTAAACCTTCAGTCCAATAAAGTTAAAGCTTCAGTCCAGTTGTGTTAAACCGTAAGTACAGTAGAGTTAAACCTTAAGTCCAGTTGTGTTAAACCTTAAGCCCAGTAGAGTTAAACCTTCAGTCCAATAGAGTTAAACCTTAAGTCAAGTTGTATTAAACCTTAAGTCCAATAGAGTTAAACCTTAAGTCCATTAGAGTTAAACCTTAAGTCCAGTTGTGTTAAACCTTAAGTCCAGTAGAGTTAAACCTTCAGTCCAGTAGAGTTAAACCTTAAGTCCAGTAGAGTTAAACCTTAAGTCCAGTAGAGTTAAACCTTAAGTCCAATAGAGTTAAACCTTAAGTCCAGTTGTGTTAAACCTTAAGTACAGTAGAGTGAAACCTTAAGTCCAGTTGTGTTAAACCTTAAGCCCTGTAGAGTTAAACCTTCAGTCCAATAGAGTTAAACCTTAAGTCAAGTTGTGTTAAACCTTAAGTCCAATAGAGTTAAACCTTAAGTCTAGTAGAGTTAAACCTTCAGTCCAATAGAGTTAAACCTTAAGTCCATTAGAGTTAAACCTTCAGTCCAGTAGAGTTAAACCTTAAGTCCAATAGAGTTAAACCTTAAGTCCAGTTGTGTTAAACCTTAAGTCCAGTAGAGTTAAACCTTCAGTCCAATAAAGTTAAAGCTTCAGTCCAGTTGTGTTAAACCGTAAGTACAGTAGAGTTAAACCTTAAGTCCAGTTGTGTTAAACCTTAAGCCCAGTAGAGTTAAACCTTCAGTCCAATAGAGTTAAACCTTAAGTCAAGTTGTATTAAACCTTAAGTCCAATAGAGTTAAACCTTAAGTCCATTAGAGTTAAACCTTAAGTCCAGTTGTGTTAAACCTTAAGTCCAGTAGAGTTAAACCTTCAGTCCAGTAGAGTTAAACCTTAAGTCCAGTAGAGTTAAACCTTAAGTCCAGTAGAGTTAAACCTTAAGTCCAATAGAGTTAAACCTTAAGTCCAGTTGTGTTAAACCTTAAGTACAGTAGAGTGAAACCTTAAGTCCAGTTGTGTTAAACCTTAAGCCCTGTAGAGTTAAACCTTCAGTCCAATAGAGTTAAACCTTAAGTCAAGTTGTGTTAAACCTTAAGTCCAATAGAGTTAAACCTTAAGTCTAGTAGAGTTAAACCTTCAGTCCAATAGAGTTAAACCTTAAGTCCATTAGAGTTAAACCTTCAGTCCAGTAGAGTTAAACCTTAAGTCCAATAGAGTTAAACCTTAAGTCCAGTTGTGTTAAACCTTAAGTCCAGTAGAGTTAAACCTTCAGTCCAATAAAGTTAAAGCTTCAGTCCAGTTGTGTTAAACCTTAAGTCCAGTAGAGTTAAACCTTAAGTCCATTAGAGTTAAACCTTCAGTCCAATAAAGTTAAAGCTTCAGTCCAGTTGTGTTAAACCTTAAGTCCAGTAGAGTTAAACCTTAAGTCCAGTAGAGTTAAACATTAAGTCCATTAGAGTTAAACCTTAAGTCCAGTTGTGTTAAACCTTAAGTCCAGTAGAGTTAAACCTTCAGTCCAATAAAGTTAAAGCTTCAGTCCAGTTGTGTTAAACCTTAAGTACAGTAGAGTTAAACCTTAAGTCCAATATAGTTAAATCTTAAGTCCAGTTGTGTTAAACCTTAAGTCCAGTAGAGTTAAACCTTCAGTCCAATAAAGTTAAAGCTTCAGTCCAGTTCTGTTAAACCTTAAGTCCATTAGAGTTAAACCTTAAGTCCAGTTGTCTGTTGGTTCCAGCACTGGGTCAGCCAGTACTACGTGTCTCTGTGTTAAACCTTAAGTCCAGTTGTCTGTTGGTTCCAGCATTGGGTCAGCCAGTACTACGTGTCTCTGTGTTAAACCTTAAGTCCAGTTGTCTGTTGGTTCCAGCATTGGGTCAGCCAGTACTACGTGTCTCTGTGTTAAACCTTAAGTCCAGTTGTCTGTTGGTTCCAGCACTGGGTCAGCCAGTACTACGTGTCTCTGTGTTAAACCTTAAGTCCAGTTGTCTGTTGGTTCCAGCACTGGGTGAGCCAGTACTACGTGTCACTGGGAGCCCCCAGACACAAGCTCAACATCGGTGTGGGCCTGTATGGACGGTCATTCCGGCTGGTGGACCCGGCGGTCAGCGGCATCAGGGCGCCAATCGTTGAGGGCGGGGAGGCGGGGCTGTACACGAGGGAGAGCGGCTTCTTGTCGTACTATGAGGTAGGTCACGTGATCTTTTTTTTTCAAACTTTTTTTCTCCGGATTTTGTGGCATTGCACGTTATTTTAATCAGAGTGCATGTTGTTATATTAACTAAGGTAATGTTTTTTTTAAATAACAAAAGAATAAAATGAGAACCCAAGACTTATAACAAGAACTGAAGGATGAATCCTCATGGATGGTTGGAAAATTTAGTTACACACCGAGCAGTACTAACGAATTTGTATCGAGTGATTGTAGTGTCCCTTTCCAGATCTGAGACATGATCTGACAGATCTGAGACATGATCTGACAGATCTGAGACATGATCTGACAGATATGTGACATGATCTGACAGATCTGAGACATGATCTGACAGATCTGTGACATGATCTGACAGATATGTGACATGATCTTCCATTGTGTTTGTATTGTTTCAGATCTGTGACATGATAAACAAAGGTGCCCAGGTGTACGACGTGCCGTCCCAGAGAAACAAATACCTGGTGAAGGGCGACTTCTGGGTGGGGTATGATGACGTGCCGAGTATCACAGAGAAAGTGAGCAGTCATCACTTCTGGTTTTTCTCCACTTTCCGCTCTTTGCCTTTATCATCATTTTTTCCCGTTCGTGCCCAAGACACATGGGGACAATGAAGTAGAGTTCATCTGTTTCAGTGACCTCAGCATATGAAAGGCTAGTGTGGCAAACACTATGCGCAGCGGCCTAAATTTTCCCTAACATAAGTAAGGTACCCTTCAGAGTTGAGTGGACTCAGGGATAATCTACTGAAGAACCTGGATTCGAACTCGATACTTTCAGGTTAGAAGCCTAGCGCCCTACTACTAGGCCATGCCGTCCCATCTTTGCCTTTTGGACCATCCCAAATATAATGGGACCTATTACACGCCCCCCTCATTTATACTCTCCTCACATAATAAGACTTAATGTCGACATGTCACGGTGTGACCTACCCACCATCCTCCCCAGGCTTGCTACATCAAACAACAAGGTTTTGGTGGCATCATGTTCTGGGCCGTTGACCTGGATGATTTTTCTGGCGACTCATGTGGTCAAGGAACGTATCCCTTGATGCGAACCGCCCTGGCCGAGCTTGCCAACCCGTCTTTAGCCAGCTGTCCGGCGTAAGTCTAATCGTATTCTCTATTCAATTGTTATTTACCACATACAAACAACTATTAGTGTAGAGAAGAATCAATGTTGTATACAAATAGCTATCAGCGTAGAAAAGATGCAATGTTGTATTTCCTCACAGAGTACCAGGAATTTCACTGACCACAAGCCAACCAACCACTACTACTCTCCGACCAACCACTACTACTCTCCGACCAACCACTACTACCATCCCACCAACGACGACAACCCCGCCAACCACTCCATCAACAACCCCAAGTAAGTTCCACATTACCAGCTACACTAACAAGCTGATTAACAAGCTGTATTTTGTTGACAGGTACCTCCCCCTTTAGCTCAGCCTAATTTGTTGACAGGTACCACCCCCTTTAGCTCAGCTTTATTCTGTTGACAGGTACCACCCCACAAGACTTTAGCTCAGCTTTATTTTGTCGACAGGTACCACCCCCTTTAGCTCAGCCTAATTTATTGACAGGTACCTCCCCTTTAGCTCAGCCTGATTTGTTGGCAGGTACCTCCTCTTTAGCTCAGCCTAATTTGTTGACAGGTACCACCCCCTTTAGCTCAGCTTTAATTTGTTGACAGGTACCTCCCCTTTAGCTCAGCCTAATTTGTTGACAGGTACCTCCCCTTTAGCTCAGCCTAATTTGTTGGCAGGTACCTCCCCTTTAGCTCAGCCTAATTTGTTGACAGGTACCACCCCCTTTAGCTCAGCTTTAATTTGTTGACAGGTACCACCCGCTTTAGCTCAGCTTTATTTTGTCGACAGGTACCACCCCCTTAAGCTCAGCTTTATTCTGTTGACAGGTACCACCCCACAAGACTTTAGCTCAGCTTTATTCTGTTGACAGGTACCACCCCACAAGACTTTAGCTCAGCTTTATTCTGTTGACAGGTACCACCCCCTTTAGCTCAGCTTTATTCTGTTGACAGGTACCAACCCACAAGACTTTAGCTCAGCTTTATTCTGTTGACAGGTACCACCCCACAAGACTTTAGCTCAGCTTTATTCTGTTGACAGGTACCACCCCCTTTAGCTCAGCTTTATTCTGTTGACAGGTACCACCCCACAAGACTTTAGCTCAGCTTTATTCTGTTGACAGGTACCACCCCCTTTAGCTCAGCTTTATTCTGTTGACAGGTACCACCCCACAAGAGAGCGGAGAGTTCACCTGTGTAGGAAAACCCAACGACTCCTACGCCAACCCAGTGGCCTGTGACAGTTTCTACATTTGTGTTGACCAGGTCAGTTTCTTTATGGCAAGTCTGTCAGTACAGGTTAATGGCCGTCTAGAGTTGTAGTTGTTAATGGCCATCTAAAGTTGTAGTTGTTAATGGCCATCTATAGTTGTAGTTGTTAATGGCCGTCTAGAGTTGTAGTTGTTCATGGCCGTCCAGATTTGTTCATGGCCGTCCATATTTTTTCATGTCCTTTTGTAATTTTTCATGGCAGTCTGTAGTTTTTCATGACCGTCCATAATTGTTTATGGCCGTCTACAGTTGTTCATGTTCGTCTATAGTTGTTCATGACCGTCTATAGTTGTTCATGGCCGTCTATAGTTGCTCATGACCGTCTATTGTTGTTCATGTTCGTCTATAGTTTTAGCAGTGACACATCTGTTCATAAAAATGTTATTGTCCATTTAAAAAAAAAAAGGTTTTCAATATTTTTCGGATCTGCTAATTTAAACGTTCTGAAATTTCGATGATCTAAACTTACATTACTACAATACAATATATTACATATAGTTAAGTAAAATACTTTACAACTATTCCCTACAATACATTACACATCAAGAGAGGTCCTACCACGTACATTACACGTTTTCTAACACAATTGTCCTTGACCTTCAGGTTACCTACCAAGCCTACTGCGCCATGGGGCTGATCTACAACGCCCAGATCAAAGCCTGCGATGACCCAGCCCACACCACCTGTCCGCTTGGACATTAAGCCACCACAACACCATTACAGTCACCACTACACCATTACACCATTAACCTTCTCCACCTCCACCAGTAAACCATTCATCTCTACATTTAATATAATGTTATATAACAATAAACGATTCGTCTGTATAATCCAATCACCCACACACCAATTTCTTTATACCCGTTCCCGCCCTCCCATCCCGGGCTCATCATTTATCTTTACCACACTCCACTCAGCCTCGTCCAGTTCATTCTGCTGCATGGGGAGGATTGGATGTGGGGTGGGCTTTTAGGACGATATTCACGATATATATATATATATATATATATATATATATATATATATATATATATATATATATATATATATATATATATATATATATATATATATATATATATATACGAGCCGGCCCGCGGCATAACATACGCCGCTATTTAGTTGTTTCTAATTTTCAATAATTCATAATTTGTGAATTCGACAGTACCAACGCTGACACTGACAATATTTCTTTAAAACACTATAAGTAGCTTGTTAAGGACCGTAACACACCCCCCCCCTTCCTTCCCTTGTTAAGGACCGTAACACACCCCCCCCCCCCCCTCCCTCCCCCCCCTCCCCCCCCCTACGTTTAAAATCGTTGGCTCTGCTTGTAAACATTTAGAGTGAACACAGCTCACTAAAACCATGTAGGGGTGGGGAGGTAGGGAGAGCGTTTGCAGCTTGTTTTCTAACGGCTCGAAGAGGAGAATTATATATATACGAGCCGGCCCGCGGCGTAACATACGCCGCTATTTAGTTGTTTCTAATTTTCAATAATTCATAATTTGTGAATTCGACAGTACCAACGCTGACACTGAAAATATTTCTTTAAAACACTATAAGTAGCTCATTAAGGACCATAACCCCCCCCCCTTCCTCCCCCCCTTCCCCCCTACGTTTAAAATCGTTGGCTCTGCTTGTAAACATTTAGAGTGAACACAGCTCACTAAAACCATGTAGGGGTGGGGAGGTAGGGAGAGCGTTTGCAGCTTGTTTTCTAACGGCTCGAAGAAGAGAATTATATATATAGACGAGCCGGCCCGCGGCATAACATACGCCGCTATTTAGTTGTTTCTAATTTTCAATAATTCATAATTTGTGAATTCGACAGTACCAACGCTGACACTGAAAATATTTCTTTAAAACACTATAAGTAGCTCGTTAAGGACCGTAACACACCCCCCCCCCTTCCTTCCCTCCCCCCCTCCTCCCCCCCTCCCTACGTTTAAAATCGTTGGCTCTGATTGTAAACATTTAGAGTGAACACAGCTCACTAAAACCATGTAGGGGTGGGGAGGTAGGGAGAGCGTTTGCAGCTTGTTTTCTAACGGCTCGAAGAAGAGAATTATATATATAGATGTATATATATATATATATATATATATATATATATATATATATATATATATATATATATATATATATATATATATATATATAATACAGGTTCACACACATACTGTTGGATCCATGCCCTTGACATATGTGATATGTTTTTGTGCTGTACATTGTCTACGTTTAGTGATGGTTCTTTCACGAATAAATATCAGTACATAATATTTTGACGAGTTCTCGTGATGTAAAGTCCTTGATGAAGTCTTGCCGTCTGATCAACCATTCATTGATCAACCAACGTGGACAATGTCCCGCCACTTATTTGGACAGTCGTTGTATTTCACAACAGCATGAACGAACTTTGTGAGATGTTGGTGGCTCACACGCAAGTAAATAAAGATATGATAAGGATGTTTGTAAACGACAAGCAACTTAAATAAAAAAAACAATCCAACTGGTAGATTTAGCAACACCGTGTTTAAGTGCATGTTGATCTTGTTTTAGGAAAGCAGATATTAAAAACAATCGACAAAAGCAAAAGATTAACTACTCAATTGAAAAGCCTACGGAGATTTTAAAAAAATATTAATCATTTTCCCATTTTAGCAATCTTTAAGACTTTTCAATTAAACTTTAATGTTATTGACACAATAATTGAATTGACGATTGCATTGTTTTATGTTGAGTCATCTCAGCTTAAGAACTTTTTGTGATTGCTCAACTAAACCAACTTATTAGCGGAATATTAAACATTTCGGTTTTCTTTTAATAACAAATTCATATTAAGACAGTTTGTCAATCTCAAGTCTTCTCACTAAAAAATGGGGTTATGGTTCTAAGCTGAATTCAGCTGGAATACAACCCAAAGTTAAGAAAAGGGAATTGTGAATACAACCCAAGGTTAAGAAAAGGGAATTGTGAATACAACCCAAGGTTAAGAAAAGGGAATTGTGAATACAACCCAAGGTTAAGAAAAGGGAATTGTGAATACAACCCAAGGTTAAGAAAAGGGAATTGTGAATACAACCCAAGGTTAAGAAAAGGGAATTGTGAATACAACCCAAGGTTAAGAAAAGGGAATTGTGAATACAACCCAAGGTTAAGAAAAGGGAATTGTGAACACAACCCAAGGTTAACAAAAGTGAATCGTAGCCAGTTACTTGGCATGTAGGAAGAAAACAGTTCACATAGTTGTTGTTGTGTCTGAGTGAGTTTTTGTTTTTCTATAAATTACAAGAGTGTGACTCACACTAAGTTTGAGGAAATGGCGATGACGGATCTATAGAGTTTCAAAACGATTGCAATTCATTCTAAATCAATAGCTTTTTATGTACACATTTTTAAGCTTTGATTTTAATCGCACCCCCACCCCTCCCCACCACTACAATCCACAAAGGTGATTTTCCCCCCGGAAATATAAAAAGACATGTCGATACGTCATAAACACATACGATTAATAAATCAGATAATGTAGTATTTAAATAAATTTCATTCTGAAATGGTAGCTTTTAAACCAAACACACGAGAATTATGTCACTGGTCCGTCACATGTATCGTCTGCTAGACGTCGGCAGTCACCTGTGTCGTCTGCTAGACGTCGGTAGTCACCTGTATCGACTGTTAGAACCAGGCGGTAAAATAACAAAGTGATTAAAATATTGAATCTTCCACACGTTTATGTACACACGTTTTGATTTCTGTAAGCTTTTAAACTTGCCCCTGTCCCATCGTTTCAACTGGGTTTTCAAAGTTTAAGCATATACTTTAATATAGATATTTTTTTCCGCTAGATAGGACATTTCTTATTTACGAAGACATAACATAAACGTGGGCCGCAGCTAAAGCAGCCACTGACCAGTGTTTCTTTCAGACATTTTTCTCACGAGGGTGGGGTGAGGGGAGGGTGTGGCTACCTTTAATGCCTGTAGCCGGACACTGGTTGAAGTGTCCACTTAGTATCTTAATTCCATTTTGTTCGGGTAGGTGACGGGGGAAGTGGGCGGTGCTCCCTCCCCCCCCCCTCGAAGAGATGTCTGGAAGAAACTCTGCCCCCTGACGAACTTATAGAGAGATTTCACTTTGTCAGAAAACAATTTCCCATCAGTCACCAGTTCTGTGACGTCACTGGGTCAGGTGTCACCCGGTGCGGTAACCCATCTCCCGTACTGTAATTATTTTAACTGGTTACAACATTGTTTTGATAGTAAATTTTATGAATTTTTCGTCATTGTGTCAGTCCTTAATTGTGTCAGCCCTTAATAGTGCCAGCCCTTACTGGTGTCAGTCCTTAAAGGTGTCACTCCTTAATGGCGTCCACTGTCCTCGCCATGTGACGTCACTGCACCAGCATACATCACATTGAATAATGTCCTCATAAAGACGAGTGTTGATGGCTGACGTCGGTGGGTTTCGTGACCAGGTATTTAACATTTTGTTGACGTCAGAAACACATCATTAAAACTTCCATGAAGTTGTCAATTCATTCTAGCCAAAAGTCAACCAAACGACAAACTTGAATTATACAGTTGCAAACTTTTCGGTCAGAAGAGCTCTTGCCAGCGATACAATATTGAATATTAAGAAAACGTTTTTTTGTGTACTTGTAAAAGGAATCTCCATAGCGCTTTACTTGACCACAAGTTGCCTGGCGTTATGTGACATTAAGATGTTAGTTATTTTTTTTTCGATGTAAGATTAATATAAGAAATAAAGGATGTTTGTACAAGTTTTTTATTTAGCTCGATATGTCTGTTCGTTTGTTTGTGGGTTTGTGGCAAATCTTGTAACTCAATTTTGACCCACTTCTAATGCATCGATTTCGTTCACTTCAATGACAATATGAGTCTATTTAAAAAAAAAAATTAATTAGATGTTTAATTAGTCATTAAAATTATTTAAACGGTTTCGAAAATGAGTTGGGATAACAAAATTAAATCACTCGATAGTTTACGATATTCAATAATAAAAAGGGGTATAATAAGCTAACAAAACTAATATACTTTCTTTAATAAAAGCTTTGGTTGAGATCTTTTACATATTTTATCTACAAAAGCTTTTATTAAATAAAGTAAATTATTTTTATTTTTATTTTCAGTGCTTTTAAAAGCGTGTTGCTATTAAGTTTTTTTTCTTTTTTTTTTTTAAATAGTTTTAATGTTATACGTCTGCACTAGTAAGATATATCTAATAGAATGTGTAACCCACTTGACCAAGTTATTCAATGACAAGGATAGAAAAGTCCCACTTCAGATGTTTATCAACATGAATCTATTGTAAGCCAGTTCTTGTATTTTTTTTTATCTCTCTGTTTTAAGGTTTTCATTCACTTCCCTGTATACCGAAGACTGCGCACAACGTTTACAAGAGCAGAAGCTTTCAGTGATACGACACATGATAGACTAACCCGTTAAATAAAGGGGATTCCCCCCCCCCCTCCACGTAACATGATAAGCTCTTTGAAAAAAAAAACGGTGAAAAATAATTTAAATATGCAGGTAGGTGACTGTTATTTTAAATAAAGTTATCTGGTTAGTTCATTATGTAAACAAAAAACAATTTAAGACAGTATATTTCATGGCAATAAAACTACGTTCCTCTTTGAATGAGTTATGTTACCTTATAGCAATTTAGCTAGCCCCTTCACCTCCCCCCAATCAACCCATAGCACCCCCACCTCTGATACAATACCTGCGACCCGAGAAATCTCGTGACACAGATATACACAAGGAAGTTTAAACATTTTCTACCAGTCATTTTTCTCTATTTATAAACAGTGTACGTGTAGTGTACGTCGCTAAGTGGCCTGTTGGAGTGTTCTTATCCCCTCTACCCGAGAAGAATTTAGTCCAGTCCGCTGATTTGTGACAAGACTCAGAACAAGCAAGCCCGTGTCCTGTTTCGCTTGATGTGTATTCGTATTGCCGAAAGTTTATTCGTATTTCCGATATTTTTTACAGTAAACAATCCTGTTTGTTGTTCAAGTGAGCAGGACGTGAAACAAAATTTCTGCACGAATTGTGCAAGAAAATTGTGAAAGACAATTGTGCAAGAAATGGCAGAGGGAAGCTCATTAGCCATACAGAGTTGTGACAGTGTGGAGGATTCGGCAGAGATTCTGGCACGACTTGTCACAGACGTCCAGAAACTTCTGCGACGGTTGAGCCTAGAGTCCAACGACCTGTTTAACTGCCATCTCTCCAAGACAGAGACCATCGACAGCAGCAAGTTGAAAACTTTGTTCAGAGACGCTTCGAACCTGCTACAGAAGATGGAGAGCCGGGTCTTTGAGCACGTAGGGGCGCACGCTGCCGTCACTGCCAGAGGTAAGGGCTGAGATTTATTTCATTTTTTTAATGTTATACTCGATAGTTGAAATACTTTGGGTAGGAGTGGTCGGCGGGTAATCGCATGGCTGATAATCTGAAAGGCCCGAGTTCGAACCCTCGGGCAGATGAGAAAACTCCGTAATCAAGGAGTGGAGTCATTTTGACAACAGGATTACAAACTCTGGTTTTCTTTCGGCAGCTCTTGCGACACAGCTGATTCCAAATTGTACAGGTAGCGTCCTGTCCCTTGGGTCCATCAGCTGTGTGGGGGTCTGGGGGTCTGATACTCGGGCGACATTTGGTCCCTCTCATCTTACCGTTTTGTGCTTGGATTTTCCAATGCGTAAACATCCAATGGACTATTAGATTATGGAGCCATTTCATATCATGCTTTAATTTCGTTATCCTACACCATCCGCCCAGTATACGCCGATTCATGGCCACCCTCAAAGGGTTATATATATATATATATATATATATATATATATATATATATATATATATATATATATATATATATATATATATATATATATATATATATATATATATATATATATATATATATATATATATAACTATCACTCCTCCCCCCCCCCCGATTTTCCCTACGTGTGTGTACCCACAGTGACGTCTGAACGTATGCTTTCTTAGTATATAAATCATTCGCCAATAAAATGGTCAAACCTAACCTTTTGATTTGGCAACGTTGAACTTCCTGAGAGAGCAAATTTGGCAGTGTATAAATAATCGATTCAATAATAATATACAGGCTATTTTAACCGATCAATTATTGATTTTTACCTTAGTTTTGAAGTAGCGATACATACGCTTTGCATTTTACAAGTATGTACCTAAATTCAATAGTTTAAACTTTACATGCAACTGTTTTTCATATGACAGAAATGTGGTTAATACAAAATAAATGAAACAGTTCATCAACGAAGACCTAAGTAGGAAATCTATCGATAAGTACTTAAAACATATTTTAATGTATGGACAGTAAAGGGAAGTAAAGTCTAGTGTGTTGTAAGTGAATTGCTTTAGAGTTCTGGAACATAGTAGGTTTACCAACTGGAATCTCAGTATAATGAGTCTAGGGAGAGAATCTTGTGGCAAGTATATTTTTAGGGATAGAATATTGTGACAAGTATATTTTTAGGGATAGAATATTGTGACAAGTATATTTTTAGGGATAGAATATTGTGACAAGTATATTTTTAGGGATAGAATATTGTGACAAGTATATTTTTAGGGATAGAATATTGTGACAAGTATATTTTTAGGGATAGAATATTGTGACAAGTATATTTTTAGGGATAGAATATTGTGACAAGTATATTTTTAGGGAAAGAATATTGTGACAAGTATATTTTTAGGGAAAGAATATTGTGACAAGTATATTTTTAGGGAAAGAATATTGTGACAAGTATATTTTTAGGGATAGAATATTGTGACAAGTATATTTTTAGGGAGACAATGTTGTGGCAAATATTTTTAGGGAGAAAATCTTGGGACTAGTCTTCAGAGGTGGAATATTATGAAAATGCTCTTAGTTTATAGGTGTCAAAGAGCAAACGGAAAGAGTAGGCCTATCTTAGTTCAGGTAAAGCACATAATGTCAGAACTAAATAAACAAAAAATAAATTAAAAAAAAAAGCCAAAATAAAAAAAAATTATGAAACTTTTATTTACAAATAAAACAAATACATCAATATTTTTGGTGTTATGTAGTTTGTCGTATTTAAAAGGTTACAAAAATGTTGAAGGAAAAAGGACACAAAAACGTATTTTATACAAAAAGCTCAAGTAGAGTTGAAACAAAAGAGAAAACAACGAATGCTGTACTAATTTAGTACTTTCTTGACGATAGCTCTTTCACCTAATCAATAAGATAGGTCTTATAAAGGAAAATATATTAGAGAACAATAAACAATTACTCGTAAACAACTAATCGAAAATACACATTGTAGGGAAGGGGGGGGGGGGTGTACTACAGTTAGCAAAGTGGGCTGGAGGAGAGTTCCTTGAGTCTGAAGTCCAATCACAATCACACACAGATTGTAAGAAATCCCATACAGTTTTAAAAAACTATGTAAGGGGGTACGTTGAAAAATGGGTGGGGGTGGGGTTATAGTGACGAAGTTTAGCGATCAATCGAAAGAAAGTGTTATGATCATGATTGTCAGGGTTGACTGAGAGAGTGGGAGGGAGGGGGGGGGGGGAGGTCGCCGTGGACCGGTCGAGGGCAGTGGTGCGTGTCCTATTGGTTGTGTGTTTTGACTTTTTTTGTGTGTCGCTACTGTAGTTGGGGGTGGGGGTGCTGCTAGGAGAGAAAAAAAGTGAAGATTTCCCCTAACCCACCCCAACCGTTTCGATTCGTTTGTATTCATTTTTCTTTTGTAGTTACTATCTTTATTGTACAGAATGGGATGAAATCCATGCAAACCAGCTTTGTTTTCGACTATTCTTCCATACTTTATGCTCTTTCACCCACTTTTGTTGGAAAAAATGTTCCAAACAAGCCTCTGTCCAATTTTTAAACCAACGAGGTTTAAATTCAATGTATCTTAAGCATTCATTTACTATACTCTGTACATCAATGCAACTACTTTGTAAATATCCACCCAAACGGCGTAAAATGTTACTGTATTTATTTTAATTTGGAAAATAAAAGTATTTTAAACAAAATAACCACAAGGACGCCTTTCAGAAAAAAAAGTTCAAGGCAAATAAAATGTTTCGTGAACAATCATCGACAATGTAAATACTTATATAAATAGAAGCAAAATAGCTTTCTTTAATGCTGCTCAAATTTTTAAATATATATTGTAATAAAAAAAAATCTTTTTTTTTTCCTTAATGTCTTTTAAGAGTTGATCAAATTTTAATTTTGTTTGTATATTTCTTAAAGTGTACACAGTCGATTTGTTTTTCTAGTGCCCCAGGGACGCCAAACATCCACAGAAAAAGACAGCGGGATTATCTCCCTTGATGGTACTGGTGAGTGAGATTTATTCAAAATAATAAGAGCTTAAAGATTGTTTATAAGTGCATTAAATGAGTTTACTTGGTTAAAAAATCAAACAAAACCATTGACCACTAGTAAACCATTGACCACTAGTAAACCATTGACACCTAGTAAACATTTGACCACTAGTAAACATTTGACCACTAGTAAACCATTGACCACAAAGTAAACCATTGACCCCTAGTAAATGTTTGACCACTAGTAAACTATTGACCCCTAGTAAACCATTTGACCACTAGTTAACATTAGACCACTAGTAAACATTTGACCACTAGTAAACTATTGACCACTAGTAAACCATTGACCACTAGTAAACCATTGACCACTAGTAAACTATTGACCACTAGTAAACCATTGACCACTAGTAAACCATTGACCACCAGTAAACCATTGACCACCAGTAAACTATTGACCACTAGTAAACTATTGACCACTAGTAAACCATTGACACTAGTAAACTATTGACCACTAGTAAACCATTGACCACTAGTAAACCATTGACCACCAGTAAACCATTGACCACTAGTAAACCATTGACCACTAGTAAACAATTGACCACTAGTAAACCATTGACCACTAGTAAACCATTGACCACTAGTAAACCATTGACCACTAGTAAACCATTGACCACTGGTAAATATTTGACCACTAGTAAACCATTGACCACTAGTATACCATTGACCGCTAGTAAACCATTGACCACTAGTAAACTATTGACCACTAGTAAACCATTGATCACTAGTAAACCATTGACCACTATTAAACCATTGACCACTAGTAAACCATTGACCACTAGTAAACCATTGACCACTAGTAAACTATTGCCCTCTAGTAAACTATTTACCTCTAGTAAACCTTTGACCCCTCGTTAACCTTCCACCTTTTCTAAACCATTGACCACTAGTTAACCTTTGACCATTAGTAAACCTTTGACCACTAGTTAATCACATTAGATTCCCTCATTAGTTCCTCACACCAGCCCTCACAGGGTCCCCCATATTTATCTCATCCATAGTTCCACACACCAGGTCACTCACATCACACACACACACATCCCAATCCCCTCACGCTTTCCCTAACTACGAACTCCCCAAAATGCTATTCTTATCCCCCTCCCTCTGTCTTTCTCTCTCTCTCTCTCTCTCTCTCTCTCTCTCTCTCTCTCTGCCAATTTTGGAACTAACACCATTTTTTTTCCAATCTTCCTCAGACATAAACAGAATTAGTGAATGCGATCAGGTGAGTTCTTCTATACTGAATTAAGGCGGCTGAACTAACCTATGATGTTATACATATAAATATTTATAAATTAACGTAAACAAAATAGCATTCGTTCTAAAATTACCAGAAAATAAAAGAACATAAAATTACACTTATAAAAAGAAAAAAAATAAACAGACGAAAAATATTTGACCTTGGGTTGAATTCCCCAGATGCGACCTTCACCTTTGAACGAGCTACAGCAGCAGAGCCAGACGAAACCCAAGACGGCACTAGACGAGCTCAGGAACATCCTCTCCATGGAGGACGAGGCGCCGGAGGAGGCGCCCGTGGAGGGGGCTGAGAAAAGCTAGAGCGTTTCCAAGGAAACCTAGCCAGACTCAACGGGAAAATGCAATTTTGTTGCAACTGTATCCAGCCTGGAATGTTATTTTTTAAAGGATTTTTGGAGTTTTATATGGACTGGAAGTGATAACGTTTTATCGAGATGGATTGTACGCAAATATGGACTGAAAGGAATTTATTTATAAAACTGGAATAAAAAGATGTTTTACAAAGTGCTTGGACACTTTTTACCTAAAACATTTCAATACGTCAGGATGAAGATTTCATTGTTAGTGAACTCATTTATTCTGTAGTGTCAGCATTATATTTTAGTATTACACGTATCAAAGATAATTGGAGTATGTGTCATTATGTTTATGGATTGGACTGGATTTTATACCTAACGGAGACGACTGCTATGTTGATATTTTCAAGGAGGTTTCTCTTACTTTTCAAAAACTGTTATAGCGTGTGTTTTTATGAATTTACACAGAACTAATTAATAATGGGATGTAACTCCGAAGGTGTTAGGTAATTTTTCACTTGTAAAAATTCGAGTTAAGCTTAAATGTGATGTTTATTAAAAAAACATTTTTTTGGCTGTAAAATGATTTTGCTTGATATAAATATCTGACCCTAATGTCAGCAGCTATACTGGGGTCAAAGACCCCCCCCCCTTTAACTTTTCTGGGGTAACGAGCTTCTAGAAGCAAGTTGCGAGAGAGTGCTAAACACTTTCTGTGGTGGCCCCATGTGTATGGGCACTAAAGGGAAATGATTATGAGATAACGAGATAACGTATGTACATAATCCATAATCCACAGAAAAAGGTGTTTGTCATTGAATCAAAGAGTGATGAAACAATTACTTAAGTGAACATGGCTAAATCTGCTGAAATATTTGTATGATTGTCAATTAAAACGCGATTTTTTTCAAATTCTATAATCATTTGACCAGATTACTATGATAAATGTTGATATGGGGTATTTATAAACTTTTAATGTAGTTTTATTACTTTAAATATTAGTCATTAATTTAGCTGGGGTTGATTTGTTTAGTTTAGATTTCATAACCACTATATAGTATAACAGTGTTTAACATCTGATCACAAATAATATATTTATATTTATGTATATATTATGCTGTCACTGTTTATTTCAGAGATTTTTTACTCCTGGGGTGTGTATGGAGAGGGGGTGGCGATTCAAACATTCAAGAGGGGGGTGGATTCTGCTTGAAGTATATTTTTAAATAAAATTTAAAGTTATGTTCTATTTCGTTTGTGGTGTGTGAGTGGATGAAGGGGGGGTCGGGGGGACTTCCTTCAGTTTGCAGTGCCCCCCACAACCCCAACATGGAGATGCCTGAAAGAAACTCTTATGGCGTTTTTTTTTTATCTCTTGAGGTAATTTGTCAGCATTAAATATTTCCGATTTTTAAGACTTGAATGTTGAACTAGACCCGGATGTTTTTTTCACCTGCAATATTTCAACAGTTATGGCTCTTCGCTCTCTTGTAATGTAACGATTTCCCGAAACTTTAAATAGTCGCACACAAAACAAAAGCACTGCTAATACTTGTACAGGCATAAGTTAGTTAAAAAATGAAATTTTTGCTATTCGTCTTAGCTAACTATTGCTATTTTTGTACGTCGAGTATCCCGATTAAGTTTGCCACCTCATTTCCTGATAGTGTTTTGAAGTCCCAATAAGGTAACATATCAGAAGTGCGGGAGGGGTGAGTTCAAAGGGTTAGTGACCCCGAACTAAAAATTCTACAAAACTAGGAATTTAGAATGGCTCCACGCGTTAATACAGTTTAAAGATGAAGGGAGTATTACAGGTACCAATATTGTTTAGAGAGGAAGTGAATAGTGCAGGTAAAACGTTTGCTGAATTAAAAACCTTCGAGGGGGTTGTAGGATTAGGATAGATTCAATTTGAAGTATGTTTTTTTTTTATAAGTAGGATTAATGACTGGCTAATTTTTGCTCAATTTGAAGAAAGATTAAGTTAAGAAAAGTGGCTGTCTACTATTGCTAATTTAATAGGTGGAATCTGTTAACTATTTTAATTATTTGTTGAACTTACCAGCTCCGTGAAATTAATTGTGTTTGTAATTCTAGAAAACAAACATAATATAGTCTGACAGGTTTGTGTTTGTAAGTCTAGAAACACACCACTGTCAAAAAAAAACCAGCTGATACTATGTGAGATCAATCGATGTTTAATCGATGTTTAGTTCCCCTCCATTGCATTCCATACGCTAAAAAAATCATTGTATATATTTCTCTTGAAAAATGTTTATTAGAGTTTTTTCAATGTAAATAATGCATCTGTGTACTTTACAGTTCAAAATATTATTTAAGCTCAATGTAATTTGGGGCATATTTTAGATGCGCACAATATATTTCAATCTATGTAATCTTAGCGGTTATATATGTTAAAAACATATTATGCTGATACTGATCCGCATACGTAAAGATTACTATTTGAAACGTGAAAGATGACTTTGTTTTAATTATTAAATGAAAATACATCAAATCATTGTTGTTGTTTCATGAATTGTGACACTAATTTTAATTAAAGAGGGTTATGTTTTAATTTGTTTTTGCTGAGAAGTTTGACAAATTCTCCAACACCGTCACCACATAGGTTAAACCCAGCCCTTCAACGGTGCGTGACGTCACTTATGGACGGCTCTGAATCAGCTGATACAGCATCAGGAAGTTGAACTATCCCCCATCCCCTATACAATATATATATATATATATATATATATATATATATATATATATATATATATATATATATATATATATATATATATATATATATATATATACATATATTCCATACCGCCTAGGCCTATTGAAAGGCTAATGAAAGCTGTGTCCTTTTATTTACCCAGTTTACATTGAATTGATTCAAGCGATATGTGGGCTACATGTTACATAACAGATCAGCAGGCGACCTACTTTTAGCAGGAAGCTAATATGCTGCTGTTTGTCAGGTCGTCGATTCTATTTTAGGCTACTTATGTCAGCGATCCTTTTGTCGTGGTGTTTACCAAGACCAACGTCACATCCCCAGCTTAATTAAACTGCTGGTGATTACGATGTTTTAGACCTAAACCTAACCAGCACAGTGTCATGCTGACCTAACATTCACTTCCGGCATCAGCATTGAATGGGCAAATCCAGGACGTTGACCAATGTCCAACAATAATCTCGGACGTCTAACAACGTACAACAATAATCTCGGACGTCTAACAACGTACAACAATAATCTCGGACGTTCACCAATGTCTTACTTAGAAATCTCGGACGTCTAACAACGTACAACAATAATCTCGGACGTTCACCAATGTCTTACTTAGAAATCTCGGACGTCTAACAACGTACAACAATAATCTCGGACGTTCACCAATGTCTTACTTAGAATTCTCGGACGTCAAACAACGTACAACAATAATCTCGGACGTCTAACAACGTACAACAATAATCTCGAACTTTAACCAATGTCTTACTTAGAAATCTCGGACGTCTACCAATGTACAACAAACATCTTGGACGCAGTGGCGGAACTAGAAAAAAAAGGGCCACCCCGCAAAAAAAAATATTCTGGGCCCCCTCCTATATATATATATATATATATATATATATATATATATATATATATATATATATATATATATATATATATATATATATATATACATATATTCAAACACAGAATACAAACATTGGATACTCTTTTCTGGACCCATCGGGTTTTGAAAAAAATGTCTTTTTTTTTACAGTTTATACAAATTACAACATGTTATGTGTGTGAGTGCATTAGTCTGTCTTGTATTTCTTTTTTTTTATATTTAGGACTAGTTTATTCAATATGTTTGCTGTAAAATACTGCCTACACTCAATTTTTAGCCGGTAAAAAAAATATAAAACATGAAAGATTTGTATGTGTGATTGTTTCTCGTGTTATGTTTATTTTTATGTTTGTATTTATATTATTTGTTTTAAATATATTTCCTATCTTTGCTATGTCATTCTTTAGTATGTATTTTTTTTTAATAAATAATAACTTAGAGAAGTAATTGCTTTTTTATTTGTTTGGTACAAATATATTTAAAGGCGCTTATGAGCACCCCTATTTAACTATCTAAAAAAAGGGAAATAAGTCACACTACAGCTCATGCATATAGTTTTTAAACGCAACAGCATGTGTTAGCTACTGTATAACATCACAACTGTAGTAGATCTGTTTGTTATTTACAAAAGCTTTTACCGTCAAGTCAAAAATGCAAAAAAAAACTAAAATCTAGGACGTCTACCAATGTACAACAAAAATCTTGGACGTCTACCAATGTTCAACAAAAATCTCGGACGTCTACCAATGTTCAACAAAAATCTCGGACGTCTACCAATGTTCAACAAAAATCTCGGACGTCTACCGATTTACTACAAAAATCTCGGACATCTACTAATGTTCAACAAAAATCTCGGACGTTCACCAATGTTCAACAAAAATCTCGGACGTCTACCGATTTACTACAAAAATCTCGGACATCTACTAATGTTCAACAAAAATCTCGGACGTTCACCAATGTTCAACAAAAATCTCGGACGTCTACCAATGTTCAACAAAAATCTCGGATGTCTGCCAATGTTCAACAAAAATCTCGGACGTTCACCAATGTACAACAAAAATCTCGGACGTCTACCAATGTTCAACAAAAATCTCGGACGTCTACCGATTTACTACAAAAATCTCGGACATCTACTAATGTTCAACAAAAATCTCGGACGTTCACCAATGTTCAACAAAAATCTCGGACGTCTACCAATGTTCAACAAAAATCTCGGATGTCTGCCAATGTTCAACAAAAATGTCGGACGTTCACCAATGTACAACAAAAATCTCGGACGTCTACCAATGTTCAACAAAAATCTCGGACGTCTACCGATTCACTACAAAAATCTCGGACATCTACTAATGTTCAACAAAAATCTCGGACGTTCACCAATGTTCAACAAAAATCTCGGACGTCTACCAATGTTCAACAAAAATCTCGGATGTCTGCCAATGTTCAACAAAAATCTCGGACGTCTACCGATTTACTACAAAAATCTCGGACGTCTACTAATGTTCAACAAAAATCTTGGACGTCTACCAATGTACAACTAAAATCTAGGACGTCTACCAATGTCCAACAATAATCTCGGACGTTCACCAATGTCCAATAAAAATCTCGGACGTTCACCAATGTTTAGTCTATGAATTTGTCCACAAAATCTGGTTACCAAGCGTACATACGATAATGTGACCATAAAAACCTGATACTATAATATTTTAAAAGAGCCTTTTCATTTATAATGTACTTAAAGGTGGCTTTTAAAAATGTACTTAGAATGTTATAGGGAGTGATTTAAAATGTACTTTGAATGTTTTACATAGTGATTTAAAAATGTACTTTGAATGTTATAGAGATATTATCATATTATCAGATAACTTCTAGGCCAGGTAGAGTTTTCGTTTAAAGAGTAAAATCTAAGAGATGCGTACACGGTGAATCGTTAGACCAGAGGGTCTATGCCCTAGACGAAAAAATGTAATCTGTTTCTCTGACCTCGTTATACAATGGGACACAATCATTAGCCAGTAAGGTGTGTGTTAACTAGAGCGTGCAAAGTTCCGTCACGGTCCGATAGGTAAAAGTTGGGGCAAGTAAGGGCGGACAAAGATCAATAAGGAACACAGCACCACACCACAGTTACACATTGACCACAACACCACATCACGATGCCACAATAACTACAGCACCACACCACAGTTACACATTGACCATAACACCACATCACGATACCACAATAACTACAGCACCACACCACAGTTACATATTGGCCACATCATCACATCACGATGCCACAATAACTACAGCACCACACCACAGTTACACATTGACCATAACACCACATCACGATGCCACAATAACTACAGCACCACACCACAGTTACACATTGACCACATCAACACATCACGATGCCACAATAACTACAGCACCACACCACAGTTACACATTGACCACATCAACACATCACGATGCCACAATAACTACAGCACCACACCACAGTTACACATTGACCACAACAACACATCACGATGCCACAATAACTACAGCACCACAACACCACACCACAGTTACACATTGACCAAATCAACACATCACGATACCATAATAACTACAGCACCACATCACAGTTACACATTGACCACATCAAAACATCACGATGCCACAATAACTACAGCACCACACCACAGTTACACATTGACCACATCAACACATCACGATGCCACAATAACTACAGGACCACAGCATCAGAATGAGAATGACACAGTGCATGGGACATCAACACAGACCAGTATGTGTGACATCAACACTTAGACCTGTATGTGGGACATCAACACAGACCCGTATGTGGGACATCAACACTTAGACCCGTATGTGGGACATCAACACAGACCCGTATGTGGGACATCAACACTTAGACCCGTATGTGGGACATCAACACTTAGACCCGTATGTGGGACATCAACACAGACCCGTATGTGGGACATCAACACAGACCCGTATGTGGGACATCAACACTTACATCCGTATGTGGGATATCAACACTTAGACCCGTATGTGGGACATCAACACTTAGACCCGTATGTGGGACATCAACACTTAGACCCGTATGTGGGGCATCAACACAGACCCGTATGTGGGACATCAACACTTAGACCCGTATGTGGGACATCAACACTTAGACCCGTATGTGGGACATCAACACAGACCCGTATGTGGGACATCGGGACATCAACACTTACACCCGTATGTGGGACATCAACACTTACACCCGTATGTGGGACATCAACACTTACACCCGTATGTGGGGCATCAACACAGACCCGTATGTGGGACATCAACACTTAGACCCGTATGTGGGACATCAACACAGACCCGTATGTGGGACATCGGGACATCAACACTTACACCCGTATGTGGGACATCAACACAGACCCGTATGTGGGACATCAACACTTAGACCCGTATGTGGGACATCAACACAGACCCGTATGTGGGACATCGGGACATCTACACTTACACCCGTATGTGGGGCATCAACACAGACCCGTATGTGGGACATCAACACTTAGACCCGTATGTGGGACATCAACACAGACCCGTATGTGGGACATCGGGACATCAACACTTACACCCGTATGTGGGACATCAACACTTACACCCGTATGTGGGGCATCAACACTTACACCCGTATGTGGGGCATCAACACTTACACCCGTATGTGGGGCATCAACACTTAGACCCGTATGTGGGACATCAACACAGACCCGTATGTGGGACATCGGGACATCAACACTTACACCCGTATGTGGGACATCTACACTTACACCCGTATGTGGGGCATCAACACAGACCCGTATGTGGGACATCAACACTTACACCCGTATGTGGGGCATCAACACAGACCCGTATGTGGGACATCAACACAGACCCGTATGTGGGACATCAACACAGACCTGTATGTGGGACATCAACACTTACACCCGTATGTGGGACATCAACACTTACACCCGTATGTGGGGCATCAACACAGACCCGTATGTGGGACATCAACACTTAGACCCGTATGTGGGACATCAACACAGACCCGTATGTGGGACATCGGGACATCAACACTTACACCCGTATGTGGGACATCTACACTTACACCCGTATGTGGGGCATCAACACAGACCCGTATGTGGGACATCAACACAGACCCGTATGTGGGACATCAACACAGGTTCGTATGTGGGACATCAACACAGACCCGTATGTGTGACATCAACACTTAGACCTGTATGTGGGACAACAACACAGACCCGTATGTGTGACATCAACACTTAGACCTGTATGTGGGACAACAACACAGACCCGTATGTGGGACATCAACACTTAGACCTGTATGTGGGACATCAACACAGACCCGTATGTGGGACAACAACACAGACCCGTATGTGGGACAACAACACAGACCCGTATGTGGGACATCAACACAGACCCGTATGTGGGACATCAACACTTACATCCGTATGTGGGATATCAACACTTAGACCCGTATGTGGGACATCAACACTTAGACCCGTATGTGGGACATCAACACAGACCCGTATGTGGGACATCAACACTTAGACCCGTATGTGAGACATCAACACTTAGACCTGTATGTGGGACATCAACACAGACCCGTATGTGGGACATCAACACAGACCCGTATGTGGGACATCAACACTTAGACCCGTATGTGAGACATCAACACTTAGACCTGTATGTGGGACATCAACACAGACCTGTATGTGGGACATCAACACAGACCCGTATGTGGGACATCAACACAGACCCGTATGTGGGACATCAACACTTACATCCGTATGTGGGATATCAACACTTAGACCCGTATGTGGGACATCAACACTTAGACCCGTATGTGGGACATCAACACAGACCTGTATGTGGGACATCGGGACATCAACACTTACACCCGTATGTGGGACATCAACACTTAGACCTGTATGTGGGACATCAACACAGACCCGTATGTGGGACATCAACACTTAGACCTGTATGTGGGACATCAACACAGACCCGTATGTGGGACATCAACACTTAGACCTGTATGTGGGACATCAACACTTAGACCTGTATGTGGGACATCAACACAGACCCGTATGTGGGACATCAACACAGACCCATGTGGGACATCAACACTTAGACCTGTATGTGGGACATCAACACAGACCCGTATGTGGGACATCAACACAGACCCATGTGGGACATCAACACAGACCCGTATGTGGGACATCAACACAGACCCGTATGTGGGACATCAACACAGACCCATGTGGGACATCAACACAGACCCGTATGTGGGACATCAACACAGACCCGTATGTGGGACATCAACACAGACCCGTATGTGGGACATCAACACAGACCTGTATGTGGGACATCAACACAGACCCGTATGTGGGACATCAACACAGACCCGTATGTGGGACATCAACACAGACCCGTATGTGGGACATCAACACAGACCCGTATGTGGGACATCAACACAGACCCATGTGGGACATCAACACTTAGACCCGTATGTGGGACATCAACACTTAGACCCGTATGTGGGACTTCAACACTTAGACCCGTATGTGGGACATCAACACTTAGACCCGTATGTGGGACATCAACACAGACCCGTATGTGGGACATCAACACAGACACGTGTGGGACATCAACACAGACCCGTATGTGGGACATCAACACAGACCCGTATGTGGGACATCAACAAAGACCCGTATTAGTGGCATCAACACAGACCCGTATGTGGGACATCAACACAGACCCGTATGTGGGACATCAACACAGACCCGTATGTGGGACATCAACACAGACCCGTATGTGGGACATCAACACAGACCCGTATGTGGGACATCAACACAGACCCGTATGTGGGACATCAACACAGACCCGTATGTGGGACATCAACACAGACCCGTATGTGGGACATCAACACAGACCCGTATGTGGGACATCAACACAGACCCGTATGTGGGACATCAACACAGACCCGTATGTGGGACATCAACACTTAGACCCGTATGTGGGACATCAACACTTAGACCCGTATGTGGGACATCAACACAGACCTGTATGTGGGACATCAACACTTAGACCCGTATGTGGGACATCAACACAGACCCGTATGTGGGACATCAACAAAGACCCGTATGTGCGACATCAACACTTAGACCTGTATGTGGGACACTAAAACTTAGACCCACATACGGGTCTGTTGATATCTATGACCAATAATCAAGCAGTACCGGCGACCTACACCAGGGTCATCAAACTGCGGCTCGCGAGCCGCATGCGGCTCTTTTGATATCAAGATGCGGCTCTCCAGCTCCTTGCTCAAATATTAATAATCTTAATAAAAGTATTAGATATTTGAAATAAAAAAAAATGGTAGTGTCTCTTTAAAACCATGTAAATTTTGAAAATTGTAACTTTTGGGCTCTTCCGCTTCAAAAGGTTGCCGACCCCTGACCTAGACCAATACTGAAAAACCTGTTAAATTGGTCAATCGAGAAAATGTTAACAGAGAAAATACTGAATTCTCCCTTGTCACATACAAATAAAAAATTGATTAATTAAGAAGTCAAAGTTAACTCAAAAAGGTATCATTTCAACAATTAGGCCTATATCTTAACGAAGTTAAATACAGCATACAATTTAAGACTACCAAATAGTTTCACTTCATGAATTTATTTACAAAATAAAACGAAAATTGAGTTTATTGTTAACAGTAAATATAACCCGTAAGACCATTTGTCCACAGGACAGTTGAAGTAGAGTTTATCTACTGCTGGACACTTGAATGGGCAATCTCTACTCGTTAAATTTTAATAACAGCTAAAGCATGAGAAAAACAAAGGAAAATGTTAATGACTTTGAAAACACTTTTACACTTTACTGCTTTTATCTAACGCTTTATCCAGATCTAACCAACAAACTTATTTTAATCTAGTTATCTCGTACATGTTTATAAGTAAGAAACCGCTAAAAAAATTGGACCAAAAATCGATGACCAAACAACTTCCTTATCAAGTATATTAAATGCGCAGTAGACTATCCGGGAAGTAAATGGAAATTACCATGTAGGTAAAATTTTACTTTTCTGAAAAGGAATAGATATTCATTGGATACAGTACCAGTTGCAAAACATGTTTTGCTTTTTTAGATTTTGACTCATTATTTCATCGAAGGTAACCAATTCATGTTACAGTGCTATAGTGGATTATCAAATGGTTGTTAGATATTCTTTCATTCACCAACAAGTGTGCCATTCACATTGAAGGCTATCCTCGACACACACTATTGTGTGTGTGTGTTTACACCTGTAACTACGGTAGGTAACTGTGTTTTATTGTGCTAGTGAGAAACGAACTTCGATATTTAAGCTTCAGCTTACTGTCAGTTAAAATTTTAGAAATTATCAAATCTCTCTAACTCTCTCTCTCTCTCTCTCTCTCTCTCTATATATATATATATATATATATATATATATATATATATATATATATTTTTTATATATGCCTACATAAGCCTATAATTTAAATATATGCCACATACGCGTACATGTATGTGTATGCTTTAATTACTGCTGACGTAATGGTAACGATGTTTATCTATAGTCTGTTAATAAAACAGTTGGATGTAGCACTGTTTTCTCTAAAGTTAGCACGTTTTCGTCATTGTGTCACACCTCCCGCTTGTAATAATTTTCGATTTGTACTTAAAAGACTGTTTTACTTTAATTAATCATTAATGGAACTAGCAAAAAAGCATTTTTCTTCTCTACATTTTGCATTTTTTTTTTGCCTTGGTGTCACCCCTCTAAATGGTGTCACCCGGTGTGGTCCGCACCCCCCACCCCGCCCTCGCTACGCCTCTGTTAATAGGGTCAATGCCTGTGACTGCAGGTTCCACTGACGTCACAAGCGGAAGTATATTACCGACGACACTTCGACGCAGTTAGCAAACGGACTAACGTTTCTGATAAGTAAGTGTAAACACTTAAAACTTTTCTGTAGCTGATTTAAGCCAACATTTTTTTTTAAACACAGTGTGCTGTTTTAAAAATACTTAGAGAAAATAACGTTTGTTCATATATCTCTAACTAAATGTAACAAAGTTCAGATAATTTTGTGATTCTTGGCCTTTCATAAAACCATTAGAGAAAAGTTTCAGACAGCAATAAAAATATTGAAGTGCTAGTACAGGCTTCCTTTTTAGATAAAAACAAAACCCCCATGTTTCGTTATCTAAAAGATAGCGTAAAACTGTTGACTCTATCACAAGATCAACAACGTTGTAGGATGCGTGTTGTCTAGACTCACCACTAAGTAGTTGACATAAATTTCTTTTCGTTGTGTTTTTACAAGCTTTTATTTAACTCACTTTCTGTCTGTCGTTAGTCTGTCTAGATCGAAACGTCCGAGCGAAATAGCAGGCACTTCTAACTGACAGATACGGTTCGTAATTGGTACGTGGGTCAAGACATGAAGACAGTGCATCGTGACATTAAATTTTACTTAATTGGTCGCCTGATTATTTTTTATGAATTAATTAAAAATTTTTATACCTTAAATTATACGGTTTATCTTGTTGTTAAATTTGCTACCAATCTTCACCTCTACCAATTTTTTTTCTACCACAGAGCTGGTTATTTCTTATGGCAGCCCCAACACCGGAAGATATACGGCTGCAATGTAAGATGCTTTCATATTTATATAAATTAAAATAAATAAAATAAATAAATAACTAAATAAATAACATAACATAACATAACATAAAACATACAAAAAACATTAAAGTAGAGAGAATGAAAACATCAATGAGTTTTATCAAAATTTTATAAAAAAGATAATACAAATAATTCTAAATAGTTCTAATTTAAAATTCATCTTTGCGAAAGAAATTTTTATTTTTTTCAGTCAGGGATGCGACAACCAGTAACCGCGAGGTAAATATTTATTAAAAAACCTTCATAGTTTTCATTTATTCGTGGAGACTTTTAAGTCGTGTTTTTGAAATATTACTTTTCTAGCCTTTTGGAAATATTTGTTTTTATTTTTTAAATGTAAAAGTGACTTTTAATTATTCTTCCCCGCAAAACAAAATAAAACGCAGAGTTTATCAAGTATTATGTCTAAATATTCAAAACGTAAAAAAGTAGCTTTAGATGACCATTGAGATAAATTGTATGTTAAGCTAGAGAATATTCATCAGTCATTTGTTTATGCTTTAAATGCGTTGGCAACGAGTTCTACCAATGCACCGACCAAAGAACAGGTTAAACATGTTTGTATTTTCGCTCACATCAATATTTACTTTATTTAATCTGTAATGCAATTTTATAAAAACTTTTGTATTGATGGTTGGGAATGTTCCATCTCTATCTTTTTATATTTTGATGATTCAATCTATTATTATAAATGATTAAAAAAATGAGAGAACTTGGAGTTTATGGTTAAAATATGAATTTGTGATTTTTTGCGTTAAGGAGCATCTAATTGCTAATATGGAAAGGCTGGTCAGAAATTTGGATTACACGGCGAGTCTGTTTGGAGACTTAAATGTGGCATTGAACGCTGTGAACAAGTGTGAAAAAAAGGCATCTAAAGTGATGAACGCTTCCGTTCTGGATGAGCTGACTAAATTAAAGAGTATAGTGGGAGAAATTAAAATAATCATTTCACACCTGGGTAAGTCTGTGTGATGGGAGTCAGCCCAAAGCCTGATCCTCATTAAAATGTACTTTTTAAAGGGATTTATGCGTTATTGTCATCTTTTTATTACTATAACTAATTTAAAGAAATTATGGATATAATGATAATGCTGGCGTAAAAATTATAATTTCTATTAAGAATTTTTTTCTGTCCACTCTTAAATCATGAGTATCTGTTCAACTCATTCAAATAGAAGGAAATAGGTCAAAATGTAAAAATCTATTTGTGCTAAAGGCCTAATTATTAAATGTAAAATGTTATTAGTTCATTGCACGTCCATCTAAATCTGATAAGCAATGTAGTCGTGTAAATAAAACACTGCATTGAACTTGATACTTCTCACTGTTGTAAAAATAAAAACAAGTTTCTGTAATCGCATCATCATTGTAGTGTTATATATTTTAATTTGTATCCTTATTTGAAGAATTTAATCAAGGTTATAATCAATAACAGTTGCATTAAATTGCAGAGTCTGGGCGGCAATACATCGTCTGTAATACACAAGGTGACGACTCTGCTCCAGCAATTAATGAGGTTAATTATTAATTAATACTTGTTTTCGGACTTGGATTTAATTGACGTTATTTACATTTTTAAAATTGTTTAAGTGTATAATGACATTTACAAATAAGAAAAATCTCATATTTTAAACTTCCTAAGCATTTTTAATTCCATATTGCTGTAATTTTCTAATTTCATGTAATTTTCACAAACAGTCGGAGCAAGCGGAAATGAGAAACAGCTGCCACATAGTGGAGAATCTAAAACGTGACGTCAGCCATCACCGTAAAGAATTCGATGATATAAAAAACAGCTTCCTGTCCGATAATCAAGTGTACAATGTACACGGCAGGGTGGGGAACGGAGATGTCTTGGAGAAGTTAGACAGTCTGGTATCGCTATGTGACGTCATCACAAGTTCGTTTAGAAAGCACCTGGAGTCCCATACAGGTAACTAAAGCTCATGGAACAAGTCAGTTTTGTTGTTCAGGGGCGTTTCGTTACTTTTCTTAGATATGGGTGAAGTTCTGATTTTCAACGCCCCCTAAAGTTACAAACTATATAAGAACAAAATGCCACCCTGAATAAACTAACCCCTATATCTACTATAATATATATGCCGCGTGTATTCTAACATGATCTAAGTTTGGAGCACAATTAATTTGATGTGAAAATTTAATTTTCTACAAACATATTTTTTTCTTCTGGTGGAACCTTTGAAGTATTTTTTCTGGTATTTAATGCTGAATTCAGCTACAATAATACTGGTACACAGACTAATATCGTTGCACGTTTACAAAAAAATAAATCTGGTATGGTATTATTACAATTGTATCTGTGTAGGTTAAAAGATGCAGCAAAAAATATCATGATTTGCCAAAATAAACACAAAAACGCGACATTGTTAGAAGAACCGAATTTATCGTTGTTGTTGCTAGACAGTATAACCAATTTACTATTTCCATAAAATTTATTTTTACCGCCTTCATCCAATAAGGGACCAATTGTCTTGTAGAAGCGGTACAACTTTTGTGGAATCGCTTTACAGCACAAAGTCATGATAACAATATCTAAAATTGTCACTTCCAGATACATCTCGAGACAGTGGACTCGGGAACTCTGTCAACAGCGCAGGTAAGAAATGGTCCAGCTTGTTTCATTTTTCTAGTGGTTAAACCAAATTGTTAGCTAGTCTGTGTCATATGTTTTTATTGTGATTCAGTTTTATGAAATAAACAATGTTTGTGTTGTAAAAAAAATAATTTAGATTTTTTTTGCCATTTTTTTTTAGTGTTTTATGAAACGGACGCTTAGAAAAACATTATGGAACTTCAAAGGTAATTAATTGAATTATACCTAATAGTAGATACACTCACTAAAATACACACGCGCGGATACGTACGCATAACACGCAAACGTATATATATATATATATATATATATATATATATATATATATATATATATATATATAATATAAATAAATAAATATATATATATATATAAGTATATATATACTTTTATATATATATATATATATATATATATATATATATATATATATATATATATATATATATATTTCTCAGTCAGACTACTATATACCGTGACCACTAATTGTCACTATATATAATTTGTGTGCAGTTAAAATTTACAATTAACATGCATCGTCCATAACTTAAATCTACAGTAAAGAGAAATTAAACGAAAATTACTTTTTGTTATGCTGAAATATTTGTGGTAAAAATGATGAATATATTCCGATTATTTTAAGGTATGATAGGGAAACAGGTATTTCTAGCTCTAGCCTTCAAAATGGCGATTGGAATCTATTGAAGCCAGAAGTCCACTTACCCGTAAGTTCCTTAACAATCTAAAGGAAACTGCAGCATAGATCTTCTACTCATCAGAAAGCAATATATTTATCTGGAATTACGGCTATACTTCATTCTGTGTATGATTACTGTGTCAGTACATTGTCTAAATGATTAGTACTGACCACAGTGCCTAATTTATTTCTGTATATAATTTTTGTAATAAAAGCATATCTAACCCTTTTAAAAACATAACCTCTAATAATAGCTCTTGAGCACATATTTCAAAACTTTTTTTTAAATGATGAAAAATTGGGAAACTGTTTTTCAATCAGTTAAAAAAAAATATACCTTTGATATTAATTTGTGAATTAGTGGTAAAAGTTCATTAATTATACATAATTATACACCTTGTTGATATTAAAAAAAAACAACTAACTACATGGATGAGTCTTCGATAACTAGTCTTTTTAGAAAATAATTCCTGAATTAAAATTCTAAAGTTTTAAAAACATGTTTTTTTCATCAGTTGTAGTTAAATTAATTGTCAGTGAAATGGTAAATTATGTATCACCTGCCACAACCTCCACTCAGCTCTTAGACTGTCTTTAATCAGAACACACTGAATATTTTACAAATGGTCAATATAGTCTTCTTTGATGGGGATTATTGTATTATATCTGGTATTATCGATGGGATTAGGCGCGCTTTGATTCTTGTTTTAATGGCGCCAAAATATTTATAACACAATTGTTAAGTGTTTGTCGTGTCAACTATATATATATATATATATATATATATATATATATATATATATATATATATATATATATATATATATATATATATATATATATATATATATATATATATATATATATATATATATGTATATATATGTATGTATATTTATATAAGTTTACATGTGTGTATGTATGTGTTTGTGTGTGTGAGGATGTATGTGTGTATATCTGTGTTTGAGTCTGGTAAGAATACAGTTTTTGCAGCCTTTCTTTACAATAGATGTTAGCGAATGTTCGATTTGAACTCAATATTAGACATTTTATTAGATAATCAATAATTGTAAAAGTGTTGTGCCCATGGCATTGTACATGTGAGATTGTGTGGAAAGCTTAATGTATACTGTGTAAACTATTTTTTTTTCGGTTGGTCTATGATTGTGAATCTAAGTAAATATACGAAAGCTTGTGTAAATATAATTATTTTGCCTGATCATTAACATAAGAATATATTATTTAAGTGCAATGTATTTTGTTAACCAGTATTGTAATTATCGGGATTGATGCCAAAGAGGTTTCGCGGAATGAAAGAATTTATTTGTTTGATATTAATTAATTTTATTTGTTTTATTATTTACACTGACACATATTTAAAAAAAAATGTTTTTTTTTTTACAAAATGTTACAAATATTTTAACTTCTGTTTCACTCTTACCCTTTTTGCATTTGTTTTTTTTTTCTAAAAGTTGAGCTTAACAATTTGCGATTAAATAAAAAACTCCTGTTCTTTGATGTTTGTTCCAAGTATGATTATACATTTAATTTCCTTTTATTAAAATTACATTAAGGACGTGTGTTTTTCATAAACCTTTTTGTTTTAAGCACGTTCTTTAGGTAGGTATTTCCCGAGGGATCTCTCTAACCCACCCTTATCCCATCTCTAATCCCCACTCCCCAAAACGTTTCCTTCCCCTAATCCTTGTATCCTAATCCTCGCCTGTTAAGGTCAACAGAAGAACTATAATCTGGCGAGGTCGCAATTAAATCTTTTAAATAATTAATTAATTAAATAAATATGCTAATACTCGTTAGCATGAAAATATCAATTAAATGGCAACAATGGAGAAAATAATTATCGTTTTTTTTAAAAACAACTATTAAAGCTCTATATACTATTACTACTGTATTGTAAAATTTTATCACATAAAAAAATGAAACCGTCACATTTACCTTCATGTCAAATGGAAAATGTTATTAAAGTACAAGTCAAAAAATATTTAGATGGTTAATACTTTAAGTCTCTTTGTCTCTGGATAGACGAAATGGTGATATGAGAGAACAGAGCACTAAAGGTTTTATAGAGCTAAGCTTGTTGATGATAGCGTGGTTGGACCTCTCAGTCTGACTAAATTGTATGTAATGGAAGGCGATGGTCCTTGGTGGTTCTGGTTTATAACACGCTGAACCAAGTTTGATTTCTACATTTCTATTTCCTTTTAAGTAAAGTAATACCTATGCCTATCCGCTAGTATGTAAATCAAGCAACACAGTACACCTTCTCCCCGTTTTGTGTGTTTTGCCTACAGAGGCCACAAAGTGTTGTATTTGCCTATCAATTGTATTGGCTTTAAGAACCATATTAGGTAACAAAAACGTTATTGACATATGGCCTTATCTTTATTTAAGGTAGGTTCGTATTGAAAGAGCGTGTAAAAGTTCGTGTATTGGGGTAGATGTTGATGTGGGGGTGTGAAGGTATGTCAGAGTCTGACTATATGGGGTTTTATATTTATAATATTAAACTAGCGTTCAATTTGCTGCGAGCTACGCAACATTTTAAGAGGTTTTCATTAATGCTTCACCAACCGTGTATTTTTAGACGCTTTACCTTGATTTCTAAAACTTAGTGATTTAAATATACACAAAGCCGATGCTATATTTCTTGTATAATAGTTGTTGGGGCGCGGGTTTATCCACGCTACCACCCAGACACCCCAGGGCGTGCTGTGTGAAAGCCTTGAGTGTACGTTAGGTGTCAGCGGCATCGCGGGCGCTCTTGGAAGCCACTGGTTACACTATCACACACTTATTCGATTTAGTCGACGATTAAAGTAACCCATCGTATCCACAGTGTGGATCGCACGCTTAAAACGAACTTAAGCGCCATAGTGCTCACACCTCTGATATGTACCTAACTCACGTTGGGAAAAGTAAAGGCAGCTGGGTATAGAGCTACCAGCATCACTTTTTCATATGCCTAGGCTAAGAAATATAGGAACTCTACTTCATCTGCGCTATGGATCTTAAGGTCTGAAGCGAGAGTTTTTACTTTTAAAAATTTAGTAATGTGTCATGTGGCATCCGCGTCCATGGCAACATTGGTAGACTAATGTAGGAAATTGCTGACATCCTAGAGAACAGTTTTTTTACGTAGCCATAAATAGAATTATCAACATCAGCACCAACATTATTGAAACTTTTACGACACTCACCCCCAATGTCATGTTCAATGATGTTATCTTGAAGCACAACACATAGTTTTACAAATAATTATATCATCCAACACAACATAGACTTATGTTGAATGTATAGATCTCAATGTAACCATCATATTCATCAATTGGTTACGTAACTGCTTCTAACATTAACTGATTAAAATACATTGGGAATATCTGGTAGCTTTTTGAAAGCCAATGACGTGGTTAAAATCGGATTTCTAAAATCAAATTTTTAAAAAATTTGGTTTTTCCAATGTACGCTTTTCCCATTTATATTAATCTATCCTACATATCTAAGCTAACTACTATTCTGCTAAATAAACGGGAAGTATATTTCTTGAGTATGAAAAAATTTCCAACGTTATTTGTTGCATTGCGTAGTTTAAATACAGAAAAATATAGAAGAATTTGAATCAGTACAGAATAAAAAATGTAGATTTTAAAAAGGAGAGATTAATTACTTTCATGATAGGCGTAATTTTTTTTATATCGGATGTTTAGTTTGACGTAGTGTATGTTACTGATCTGTTTTTTTAATTGTTGTAAACAACAACAGTATACCTTGTTGATAACACTCCCTAGATTTTGTTTGACACTCGTGCGTCTTCTTCATTACCGATTCTGATACCTGTTTAATTTCTATTGAATTTTTGTCCTACTTTCGAGACTACTTCAGATAGTCGATTCACATTGGTTGGCGCATGTTGTTGCTTGTGAGATGGGAGGCAGGTGTCATCAGCAAAGTCGAGATCCTCCAGCCTTTGGGTGAAGTTCCAATGGATTTGTGTATTGTTATTTGTGAATTGTTATTTGTGTATTGTTATGTGTAGTCTTCTGCGTGTTTCAGTCAATTACCATCAAAGCTTTAATTGCGAGGCATATATCCCTATATCCCTGTTTTACTCCCGTTTTCACTGAGTATGTATTTGTTAGCTTTCCTTTGTTGATAACCTTGCAGGTAGAATAAAATAGCTGATAGACAATTATTTTTATCACAGAAAACACTTAAACACAAATGCCCAAAAGTTCTTGAACGCCGTTAGCCTAAGTACCAATTTTCTAAAAGGCTGATAACCCGAATTTACGACTTCAGGAAAAAACAACTTTTTATGGCCTTCATCTGACCCTATTAAATGGTTGTATTGCATAATCAAGGATCCGATAAAATACGTGAGTATATCAGTGTCTATGTGAGTGTGCAATTTTGTCTCAACATATTTAAATCAGCGTTTTTTAAAAAAAAAATGGGCCACGGAACTAATAAGGCATATTTTTGTTTATAAAAAGCCCTTACGTGGTCACTAAATTTAGATGCCGTTTTCAAGTCATGTAACACTGGCTGACTTGGGGGCGAAAAGCTTAACAGGGAAGTGACTGTTTTAGAATATGGAAAAACCACTAATATTTTGTATATATGTAGGTATAGCCGTGAACATTTAACCAAAGTATTGTAAACAGTGTGTGCACTGAAGCTAGACTACCCGACGTCTGTGTATTCGACTTAAGCAAAGGATCTTACTGATTGTAGGAACAAGTAATGTTTGTTGTGTAAATGAGAAGAAACATTTTTCAAAGTAGTGTAATTTGATTTTTGGCATTTATAATAAAACGATCAAAAATATATGAGCGGCTTATTTTCCCAGGATTAAGTATAGACAATACATAAGTATATACATATATATATATATACGTATATATATTTACATGTATGTATGTATATATATATATATATATATATATATATATATATATATATATATATATATGTGTGTGTGTGTGCGTATGTATAGGTATAGTTTCTCTCTCATCCATATGTTATAAATAAAACACATTTTGAGACGAGACAACTCACAGTGTATTACCTTGGTTTAGTTCTAGTAGTTTACTTCATTGCTAAAAAAAAAGATAATAGTTGTGGTGAAATAGAGTACTTTTTTTTACATTAACAACATATTTGTAATTTATTTAGTTAACTAAATAGCATACTGTTATTAAATAGCTCATAGCTCATATTAAAAGTTTCCCTTCCAAACCTAACGGCCTATGGGGCAAAGTGAAGTAGAGTTCACACGTTTCCGTGACCTCGGCACTATGCCCAGCCGCCTTTACTTTCCCTAACGTGAGTTAGGTACCCATCAGAGTTGGGTGGACTCATGGACGATCTACTGACTTAAACCCGGATTCGAACTCGAGACTTGTTCCACCGCTAGACCACTCCGTCCCAAAACTCATATTAAAGTACGATTCAATATCTATTTAAGCATGAACACACAATTCTTTAAATATCATAACTTGTAATATAGTAAGGCAGTGCGCAAGAGCGAATGTTTTTAATATGATACAATTGATGTGCTAAAAATTGTTATCATTAAATTAATATGAATAAACTTCAGTTAGCTAAAGTAAGCAGCTATAGTCTACAAAAATAAAATACATTGTTTTGAAAAGACATTTGACTAATAGCTCCTTTATTTGGAAAATAGGATTTGATTCTAAAAAGATTTTAAATTTCTTGTTTAATGTGGTGAAATGTTTGAATGGTACCAAGTGTAAACAGTGTGTGCACTGAAGCGAGACCAAGCGACGTCTGTGTATGTTGTTGCTGTACGGAGTGAATAAGCGTAACAAGAGAAGTTACTGATCGAGTAACTAACAACGAGTGTGTTGTGGAGCGGGGTATAATTATAAGATGGAAGAATGATAGCCCAGGGGGGGGGGGAGCTGTCATTTATGAAAGCGTATTGTGAGTGGCAGCGGGCTGAGGATTAAATGTGTCAAGATTTTATAATTGTAAACGAGAGGAAAGGAGATTAGTAGACTAAATAGGCATTTATTACTTCAAGCTCATTGTTGTTAATCCATTTAGGCCTACAGTTGAGATCCCAGCAACCACCCCTCACATTAATTAAATACAAAATGTCTTTTATTTTACGTATATTCATCATACTATATTGAGGGCTACTACTGGGAGACCGGTTGCATAGTGCTGCGATGTAAAAAAAAATGTATTTATTCATTTTAATATGGGGAAAAAATATAATTTCTCAAAATTGCCTTGTGATCTAATGAATGGTGTAGTAATGCATAAAACACACCCCCATAAATACACCTCCCCCATATATATATAAATACATATATATATATATATATATATATATATATATATATATATATATATATATATATATATATATATATATATATATATATATATATATATATATATATATATGAATGTATGTTATGTAAAATCGTTGCTATAGATGTTATATTATTATGTGCAGCTGAGACAGAAGGAACAAAACCACACTTTTCCCCACCAATTTGGAGGACAATCAACAGCTGGCTAATTAATTTGTGAATCTAACGTACACTCAATGGGTAAGCTTTTAAAGTTTTTTAAAATGCAAACCTTGGATGCAGGTATACAGGACTCTACATAATACACGATATATAGCTGTTCTTGTTACGTTAAATGTTGTTAGTTATCGTTACTTCCCTTGTTGTTATGTATATCACAGTTACGTCCCTTGTATAATCAGTGTTTACCGTGTTGTGGGTGTGTAGCGGATGTGTGAGGCTTAACTACAGATAGACACAGAGACAAGTTAACTACAGATAGACGCAGAGACAAGTTAACTACAGATAGACACAGAGACAAGTTAACTACAGATAGACACAGAGACAAGTTAACTACAGATAGACACAGAGACAAGTTAACTACAGATAGACACAGAGACAAGTTAACTACAGATAGACACAGAGACAAGTTAACTACAGATAGACACAGAGACAAGTTAACTACAGATAGACACAGAGACAAGTTAACTACAGATAGACCCAGAGACAAGTTAACTACAGATAGACCCAGAGACAAGTTAACTACAGATAGACCCAGAGACAAGTTAACTACAGATAGACACAGAGACAAGTTAACTACAGATAGACCCAGAGACAAGTTAACTACAGATATACCCAGAGACAAGTTAACTACAGATAGACACAGAGACAAGTTAATTACAGATAGACACAGAGACAAGTTAACTACAGATATACCCAGAGACAAGTTAACTACAGATAGACTCAGAGACAAGTTAACTACAGATAGACGCAGCGACAAGACGTCTCTAAGCTGTCTATTATAATAGAGTACCAATGCTAACTCAGATAACTGTTTAAGTAATGTAACAGTTTTATAGACTCGCTTTCTGTTTCAAAGTCTAGAGATGGACGTCACTATTTAAAGAGTTAACCAACTGGTTGTGTTAGAGGGAGCTTATTTGTCGAGTTTATCTGACTCAACTACACCAACGTCTTTACATTGTGTTTCATATTTCGTTAGAAATAGAAAATGTACGAGCTAGGATGTCCTCAATAATGATTTTTGATTTTTTTACAACACGATAGGGTTGGGTTTATCATTATTTGTATTTTCTTACATTGGTTAGAGGTGATTTATATTTTTGTAAGATTGTTTTTATTTTGGGTATGGAGTGAAGCTCAACACTCATTTAAAAAAAAACAAGTTAATAAAAAGTCTAGTGACAATTTAAGCGCAATTTCCTTATGTTAACCATAACAATTTTTATTTTTTTGTGACCGAACGAAATGATACTGTTTTTGCGCTAAAAAAAAAAGACAACTATATTAACCTATATCAACGGAAATAGTTTTATTTTAACGAGTAGGCCTACACGATGCTCAGTTTAAATGTTCTTAATTAATTTTTTGTGAAAGAACGAAAGGATATTTTTGAAAACTTTCTTCGGCAATATTGTTCTAAATTATGGCAGGAATCGATTGGTAAATGTTTCAAGTCGCTAAGTGGTCTGGTTGCCGAGATATGGGCCAAAAACTGCATTTTTTCGAGTTTTTTTTGGCTTTTCCGGGAAATCCAGGAAGGAATTCCGGGAATTTTTTTGGCCCACAATCATCCTCGGAACTTGCTTAACATATTTGCTTTGGAACTAGTCCTCGATATTGCTTCGTTGAGGAGGAGATACGACTTAAAGCTGCGGACACACATCCATCCATCCATCCATCACCAGAAATGACGAGTTAATAATCGCAATTGTCCGTATGGAAATTGCGCTAAAAAGATCACGCACAATGTTATTTTAAGGGGACATAAGCCATTAGGCCAATCAAAATGATAAGTTGTTATCTTTAGTTGTACATACAAGAAATGCTGATAACAAATGTTTTGTAGTACCGATGTTCTATGATGGTAGATGGCTTAAAATGTTCTATTTTATTACGTAATATGTGAATGATCCATAATACTGCACGGTTTGATGACTTAATCTACATACTTGCAATATCTTAACTCATTGTCTCATTTTTCTTTCGAAATGAAAAATAGCGCCGGTTTCGGTTTTCCTCGATGAAAAAATAATAGCCTCAGTTTACGTCAAGTATTTTCGATTTACGTCGACTTGACTAGGACGATGGGCCAATGAAAATGTTTTAATAACCTACATGTAGGACATATTGAAGCGTCGAGCCCAGTGTTTCTTCCAGACTTTTTTCTCCGGGGGGGGGGGGGGGGAGGAGGGGCACTTAAAATTTTCGGGGGGACACGGTTAAAAGTATAGATCTTCTATATAAATTTGATTTCGTTCGGAGGGGCGGTAGACTTTCTTCGGGGGGGGGGGGGGGGGCAAATCTGACATTAGTCAGTTTCAGTATTTTACATTAATAATTAGTTCGTTAAAGAATTGCACACGAGTAATTAGTCCATTAATTGATATTAGTATGCAGATTAAACAAAAATAAAAAGTTTTCTTTTCATTGTTGTATTATAGACGTTCCTGTAAACGGTGATTTAGCCGATGAGGTGGTAGGTTTACAAAGGAGAACAGGACTTTCTACGGCTATAGAGGTTAACATTCTCAGTCATTGAAAAAATGAAAGACATTTTTAATTAAGCTTTATATTAAACAGAAATAAATTTGTTATATGTTTACATCCAGCACACACATTTAAAAACAACAGTGCTTCTTCCAGACTTTTTCCCCCCGGGGGGGGGGGGGGGGATACTTGACATTTTCGGGGGGGGGGGGGGGGGCGGACAAAAATTTCAGGGGTAGGGGTAGACTCTCTTAAGGGGGGGTGGCTCACCGAAGAGATGCCTGGAAGAAACACTGAAAACAACCTGTTAGTTCAAGTACAATTTAAGAAATCTGTATATTTAAAACAACCATTTCATTTCTAAACTGTTATAATTAGAATATTGAAATAAAAATGTTTTAAAAAGACCATAATGCATTTACAGGTCCCGTTTCAATGTACGGTATGTCGGGAAGTGCCGAGTGCATTCAAAATGGTGGATATGCACATACAACATTACGCTAAATCTTTGCCATACGGAGACAACATATGCACGTGTATTGAGAAGCTGAACGAAACTTGCTATGAGCATATTCTAATGGATCGGCTTGCGGAATTAAGACAGAAATTGATAGATGTGAATACTGTTTATAATCAGCATCTACAATACCATCCGAAAGATAGAGGTGATTATTTTATCAAATAAAACTTGCAAAACATTTCACGCACTCAAGGGAATGGATTCCTCTCACATAAAACATAATGTCAATGCGACCCTTAGGTTAAAGCCGCTTTCAATCATCTTAATTTTACCAAGACGTCGTCACAAAACCCACCCCCCCCCCCTTCCACCCCCTCTATAGTAAATAAAATTGCAAAATTCCAACAAAAATTAACTCGTTTTTCGCAAAGTTTAAATTTTTTAAATACAACATTTCTTTGACCGCCACCCACTATACTGCTGATTACGAAAAAATTCAGACCCCCCCCTTTTTAACTAAATGACATCTTTTACAGACTACTCATTACACTTACAATATGCACACTCCCATAGCGATTATCTATACAATTTGAGTAGTTAAGTTTAATTAAGGTTCAATGGTTAGTTAAAAAATTTTGGGCATCCAATTAAGTCAAATTTAATGTTACGAGGTATTGTCTTCATGTCTTGACCCACGTACCAATTACGAGGAAGTGAGTTAAATAAAAGCTTGTAAAAAAGAGACTTTTTGACGAGAAGACGCATCTTTTTAAATATTACCTAAAATCTGGTTTTGTTTTGCAGATACCCGAACACAGAGACATGGTGTGGTATTTAACAACGGTAATCTGAAGCAAAGTTTTTTTACCCCTTCGCTAACCTTAGATGTTATGGTTGTAAAATTCTTTAAAACAGTTATGTTGGAAAAAACAAACAAGCAAGCATAATTAGATTTGCGTTTCATTCTTTTTCACAGCGGAATTAGATTCAAATTACTCGACACAAGAAAGCCAGACACGCGATGCTAGACCGGTAAGGACATGTTCTTCTAATCTGTTGATGCTAATCTGTTGATGCTAATCTGTTGATGCTAATCTGTTGATACTAATCTGTTGATGCTAATCTTTTGATGCTAATCTGTTGATGCTAATCTGTTGATGCTAATCTGTTGGTGCTAATCTTTTGATGCTAATCTGTTGATGCTAATCTGTTGATGCTAATCTGTTGATGCTAATCTGTTGGTGCTAACCTGTTGATGCTAATTTGTTGATGCTAATCTGTTGATACTAATATGTTGATGCAAATCTGTTGATGCTAATCTGTTGATGCTAATCTGTTGATGTTAATCTGTTGATGCTAATCTGTTGATGCTAATCTATTGATATTTATCTAGGCTACATATTTTACCTGTTTATGTACATTCGTATAAATTTCTACTTATTATTTTATCAGTTTTTCAATAAAGGGAACGGTAAAATACTAACAATAAAAAAAAATCAAAAGTATTACAGCACAGTCTACCCCTGGATATAGATTACTATATAAACAATTCCTTCTTACCAAGTTTTAAGTACTATTTACTGCACCCTATCAACCAGGTAAATGTCCAACGATGTTATTGTTATTTGGTTAAAACTATGGAGCGGCAAATCAACACATACATCCAGCAGTTAGAGGACCTCAAGTCCTTGCTGGAACTAAAAGAGGGCGGCACCACATTAAACTGCTGCATCATCCAGAGCGAATTTGCGAAAACCGGGGAGGTGAAAGCGCTGTTCGAAGCAAATATTCGCTGGTGTCAGGAGATCGAAACCAGCCTACCCGAACATTTAAAACTACACAAGTCAGGTAAGTACATTAGGCTAATACTAATACTTGTACTTATAAGTTCCCTTTTCGAACCCTGACGGTCTATGAGGCAAATAGAGTAGAGTTCACCTGTTTCTGTGATTTCGGAATTTGAAGGGATAGTGTGGTCGGCACTATGCTCAGTCGCCATCAGAGCTGGGTGGACTCAGTTCATCTCTACTACTTCAACCCGCGTCTGCAGTCTAGTCTCTATAGCCGTCCTCAATTCAAGTACTTTTAACAACATACTAGTACATAAACTACTACCATAATGCTTATTCTTATACTCACCTTTGTGAGAATTGAGAATAGAGGTGTGTGTGTGTGTGGGCGGGGGGCGGGGGGGAGGTTGTCGTCCAAAAGTGACGTCACGCAACTGGAGATAGGGATTTTATAAGTATTGTGACTATGTGACTATTATCTGAGGACGATAGCGTGTGTGTGTGTGGGGGGGGGGGGTGGTTAGAGAAAAGTAAAGCAGGGAGCAATTTACAGCGTGAAAACGATAAGAAAACACTAATTATTGTAGCATTATGGATGTTGATAAGGCCAAGATAGACTGGAATTACCTGACATAATTTATGAGTGACGAGTCGTTGCTGAGTTGATTGTACCACGTTTTACATTTTTTATAGGAAATAAATACAAAGCTATATTCCAAACATGTTAATCTAATCCAGTATGAATGTTTTTTTTTTCTACAGCACGCGACAGTGGTATCGATGACTCACCCACAAGCTCAGGTAAAGACCAGATCAAAAAACTAATTACGTTTTTCACATCAAGTTACATTGTTTTAAACACCTCACTAACATTGGTAGCAAAAAATTATATTGGTGCTCAACTTTAAAATCAGATGTCGTAGGTCACTATGGTTGCCCATTTCTGTTTTTAAATATTTTTTGCGGTCACATTTTTTTTTTCGTTGTCTCCCATATTACTCATTAAATACTTGGGCGATTTCTTTCAAGAAATATCTGTGAAATATACCTTAATTAATTAAATAGTAGCAAACGGTCAAGTGGTTTGGTGCTAACATAAAAATAAATCATAACGTTTGTTTTAATGTTGGTATAACAACAAAACCGTCAGTTCCTAAAAAATATTCCCTATAAACTTTTTAAAGATGTGATTTCAATATAATAACAATAAAAGTATGTTTATTTTTTTTTTACTTCTAATACATTTAAAAGCTTGCCACTGTACAATGACTGTGCATGTTTTACTCATCTACAGCTCGTGCCAGTGGTTTTGAAGTGTCATCAACAAGCGCAGGTACTGTTCTGACGTGTTTTAGTCAACAAACAACTATTGCTATAATACAACTTACAAACGCCGTTTTACTTATCACAATAACTCGATGCCTAAACAGCTTAAATCACACTGCATTGTTTTTAATGGTTTGTGGTCACATTAGTAGCTATGTTCGCAATCATTTTTGAGGAGCGATTTCTCTAATCTTAGCAGTTCAGATGACAATGCATGAATATGTTAATTTTTAAGTTAAAAGACGGAAATAAAAAATACCAAATAACCAAATACATCAACAAAATATGAAAATAACATTTGCTAAAGACATTTTAGATACCAGCTATTCCATTTCTATCACTTATAAATGTTTTGTTTATTTTATACTTTATTTTAGCGCATAGAAGCATACAAAGCTTAAAATTAAGTTTTCCCAACATGTTTCTATTATTTTTCAGGTCGTGATAGTGGTATTGACGTCACATCCACGGACCCAGGTAAGGAACAGATTTGTTCAAAACAGCATACAGCAATTACATTTGTAACATCATTCACAGTTTAGTTCCTACACTAAACTCAACTTTTACAACATAGAAATATTTGTATCATGCATTAAACAAATGTTGTTTCACACAACTTTACACGTTGTATAACACTTCGCATACGTGGCCATTGACTGTCCTATATATACATACGCTTCACTCAACAATCCATCCATTACAAGGTGGTTTTCTTTTGTTTCACAGCTCTTTCCACCGTAGATCCAGGGAGCCAGCCACACTGACCAGCCACGCCTACCAGCCACACTGACCAGCCACACTGACCAGCCACATTGACCAACCACACCGACCAGCCACACTGACCAGCCACACCGACCAGCCACGCTGACCAGCCACAGTGTCCACACAAACTGACCAGCCACACTGACCAGCCACACCAGCCACACCGACCAGCCACACTGACCAGCCACACTGACCAGCCACACCAGCCACACTGACCAGCCACACTGACCAGCCACACCAGCCACACTGACCAGCCACACCAGCCACACCGACCAGCCACACTGACCAGCCACACTGACCAGCCACACTGACCAGCCACACTGACCAGCCACACTGACCAGCCACACCAGCCACACCGACCAGCCCCACTGACCAGCCACACTGACCAGCCACACTGACCAGCCACACTGACCAGCCACACCGACCAGCCCCACTGACCAGCCCCACTGACCAGCCACACCGACCTGCCACACTGACCAGCCACACTGACCAGCCACAGTGACCAGCCACAGTGACCAGCCACGCTGACCAGCCACACCGACCAGCCACACTGACCAGCCACGCTGACCAGCCACACTGACCAGCCACACTGACCAGCCACACTGACCAGCCACACTGACCAGCCACCCTGACCAGCCACGCTGACCAGCCACAGTGACCAGCCACAGTGACCAGCCACACTGACCAGCCACACTGACCAGCCACGCTGACCAGCCACGCTGACCAGCCACAGTGACCAGCCACAGTGACCAGCCACACTGACCAGCCACACTGAGCAGCCACACTGACCAGCCACACTGACCAGCCACACTGACCAGCCACACTGACCAGCCACACTGACCAGCCACACTGACCAGCCACACTGACCAGCCACACTGAGCAGCCACACTGACCAGCCACGAGACCAGCTACACTGTCCACACAAACTGACCAACCACACTGAGCAGCCACACTTACCGGCCACACTGACCGTCCACACCGACCAGCCACACTGACCAGCCACACCGACCAGCCACACTGACCAGCCACACTGACCAGCCACAGTGACCAGCCACACTGACCAGCCACACTGAGCAGCCACACTGACCAGCCACAGTGACCAGCTACACTGTCCACACAAACTGACCAACCACACTGAGCAGCCACACTTACCGGCCACACTGACCGTCCACACCGACCAGCAACACTGACCAGCCACACCGACCAGCCACACCAGCCACACTGACCAGCCACACTGAGCAGCCACACTGACCGTCCGCACCGACCAGCCACACTGACCAACCACACTGTCCACACAAACTGACCAACCACACTGACCAACCACACTGACCAGCCACACTGGCCAGCCACACCGACCAGCCACACTGACCAACCACACTGTCCACACAAACTGACCAACCACACTGACCAACCACACTGACCAGCTACACTGACCAGCCACACTGACCAGCTACACTGACCAGCCACACTGTCCACACAAACTGACCAACCACACTGACCAACCACACTGACCAGCCACACTGACCAGCCACACCGACCAGCCACACCGACCAGCCACACCGACCAGCCACACTGACCAGCCACACTGACCAGCCACACTGACCAGCCACACTGACCAGCCACACCGACCAGCCACACCAGCCACACTGACCAGCCACATTGACCAGCCACACTGACCAGCCACACTGACCAGCCACACTGACCAGCCACACTGACCAGCCACACCGACCAGCCACACTGACCAGCCACACTGACCAGCCACACTGACCAGCCACACTGACCAGCCACACTGACCAGCCACACCAGCCACACTGACCAGCCACACCAGCCACACTGACCAGCCACACCGACCAGCCACACTGACCAGCCACACTGTCCACGCAAACTGACCAACCACACTGACCAACCACACTGACCAACCACACTGACCAGCCACACTGACCAGCCACACCAGCCACACCGACCAGCCACACCAGCCACACTGACCAGCCACACCGACCAGCCACACTGACCAGCCACACTGTCCACGCAAACTGACCAACCACACTGACCAACCACACTGACCAACCACACTGACCAACCACACTGACCAGCCACACTTACTGGCCACATTGACTGGCCACACTGACCAACCACACTGACCAGCTACACTGACCAGCCACACTGACCAGCCACACTGACCAGCCACACCGACCAGCCACACTGACTAGCCACACTGACCAGCCACACTGACCAGCCACACTGACCAGCCACACTGACCAGCCACACTGACCAGCCACACTGACCAGCCACTACTGACCAACCACACTGACCAGCCACACCGACCAGCCACACTGACCAGCCACACTTACCGGCCACACTGACCAACCAAACTGACCAGTCAAACAGACCAGTTTTAATGCTCATGGTTAGGCTGGATGTACTGTTTGTGCAAAATATTTATTTTGCCACCTGTGGGTCTACTTATAAAGCCAGGACTCTGTTTTGAAATCTGGAATAGAAAACAAATATTATTTGAAAAGTATTATATTGTGTCATAATGGTTATAAATATCGGGCATTTCTCCATTATTATTCTAGCTTTGTAGGCCACGGGTATAGACATACCCCCAGTCCATTACCCCTCGGTAATACCCTCAAGCCATTCCACTACCCCCACACGAGATAAATTACCCATGCCAATTACCCCACACTCGCGAATGCTTATCATACATGTCAACGGTAAGGTGAGAAACCCAGTATTCTATAGAAGGCCAAACGTTTCTGTAGAATGCCAAAGTTTTCTATACAATGCCAAAGTTTTCTATACAATGCCAAAGTTTTCTCTAAAAAAAAACAAAAGATTTCTGCAAATGCCAAACGTTTCTGTAGAATGCCAAAGTTTTCTATACAATGACAAAGTTTTAAATAGAAGGCCAAAAGTTTCTGTAGAATACCAAAGTTTTCTATAGAATTCCAAAGTTTTCTATAGAATTCCAAAGTTTTCTATACAATACAAAAGATTTCTGCAGAATGCCAAAGTTTTCTATAAAATGCCATAGTTTTCTATAGAATGTCAAAGTTTTCTATAGAATGCCGAAATTTTCTTTAGAATACCAATTTTTTTTTTATAAAACGCTAAAGTTTTCTATAAAATGCCAAAGTTATCTATACAATGCCAAAGTTTTATATAGAAAGCCAAAGGTTTCTATAGAATGCCATAGGTTTCTGTAGAATACCAAAGTATTCTATAGAATGCCAAAGTTGGGACAGCAAGCCAAATACTTCTAAACTTATTTGAATAATTTTTGCTGTTTATTATAATTCACCCAATTGTCTTATTAAATATATAAATATATAAATATACACAATCCCTAACATAGAATTTTAAAATTGTTTTTATTATAATATTTAATAAACCGGGAGTGATCTCCCCTAAACTTTCTCGAATATTCTTATTTAACTTGTAATATAGACATGATTTTTAATTACTTAAACTTTTAAAAATAAAATAGAATCTTATAGAAAAAAGAAAAGAATTGCGCACCAAGCGAACGCCAAAACAAAATGTGCATAAAAGTGCGGAATATTATTAGTACTTTATAAATTTACATGCGTTTTTTTAAAAAATCGGAAATAGCGTAAATTACTACTTCCGGTCAACGGAAATTACTAAAATTTGATAGAAGGTAGATAATTAGATCTTTTACTTACGTGTGAAATTTCATTTATCTATCTCAAATAGTACTCAAGTCATAGGCTTTTGAAAAATTCAAAGTAGAAAAAGTACAACTTCCGGTTGTCGGAAATCGCTCAAATGTTGATTAAGATCTACGATTTTGATAAAATACTTATATATAAAATTTCATCAACCTAGCTGTAACGGTACTCAAGTTATCGTGTTTACACACACAAACAGACACACAGACATACGGACAAGATTGCAAAATTATGTTTTTCCGTATCAGTGAGGTGTAAAACGTCGAGATTTGCAAAAATCTCACATCTCGTTTTTGTTTTTTGCACGATTACAAGACTTCGTATATACGAGAAAGTAAAAATAAAATAAAAGTGATTGCCTAAAGTAGAAGTTGGGGCATTCGGTAATCAAGGTACGATAGTCTTGAATTAAGTGGCTCAATGTTTAACTGTGAGCAGGTTATTTTATTTCAGTTTTAATATTAGCAAACAGATAGCCATTTTGGTTCGCTATAATTTGTATGCAATAGTTAATACCTTGCCTGTTCGACGTGCTTCTATTTCAACAAAGAATGAATCATTCCGCATGACATGAGATAAAAGTGCGCTGAATCCTGCCCATTGTCCCTGGACTCATTGTGTGCATCCCAGTTTGTATTACAGTGATAGATTGAGCATTACCAACATTTACAGTTGAATGTGTTCGGTTCCATCAACAGCACATGAACATTGAGAATTGATTAGTTTGATCTGGTAACAGCAGTTTTATTTTATCATAGCGTATTTTTGAACGAAAACAAACGTTGTTGTTCCCGTGTGTTATTTCATTATTAAAATTTATATCTTTTACTTGTATGTGAAATTTTCATATATCTATCTTAAAAAGTACTCCAGTTATAGGCTTTTGAAAAATTCAAACTAGAAAAAGTCCCACTTCCAGTTATCGGAAATCGCTGAAAAGTTGAAAAGGATCTACATATTTTATATAATACTTATATATGAAATTTCATCAACCTACCTTTAACGATACTCAAGTTATCGTGTTTACAGACACACATCCACACATCCGGACAGAATTGAAAAGTCCAGTTTTTCCGACAAGATTACGCGTAAAACGCCGAAATTTTAATAAATCTGGATTTAGAATTTTTGCCCGATTAAAATAAGTCCCCTATACTCCGTTTATGATGAAATACTGAGAAGTAAAACGGTGGAAACTCTCAAAATTTCATGTGAATTTTGTGCACGATTACAATACTTTCTCTATACTCTGATTACGAGAAAGTATAAACCGGGAGTGATCTCCCCTAAGCTTTCTCAAATATTCTTATATAAAACAACAGGGGATGGGAACTCGGGATATAGTTATGTTTTAAAATCCATTTTAAATACTTGAACTTTTATAAAATAGAATAGAATCTCATAGAAAAAAGAATTGCGCATCAAGCGAACGCTAAAACAAAAACTGCATAATAGTGCGGAATAGTGCGGAATATTATTAGTACTTTATAAATTTACATGCGTTTTTTTAAAAAATCGGAAATAGCGTAAATTACTACTTCCGGTCAACGGAAATTACTAAAAATTTGAAAGAAGGTAGATAATTAAATCTTTTACTTACATGTGAAATTTCATTTATCTATCTCAAATAGTACTCAAGTTAAAGGCTTTTGAAAAATTCAAAGAAGAAAAAGTACCACTTCCGGTTGTCGGAAATCGTTCAAAAGTTGACGAGAATCTACGATTTTGATAAAATACTTATATATAAAATTTCATCAACCTAGCTGTAACGGTACTCAAGTTATCGTGTTTACACACAGACAGACAGACAGACATACGGACAAGATTGCAAAATTATGTTTTTCCGTATCAGATCTCACATCTCGATTTTGTTTTTTGCACAATTACAGGACTTTCTCTATACTTCGTATGGGAACAGGGCATTTCCCCCCTGTCAATTACCCCCTGGACATTCCCCCCCCCCGACATTACCCCCCGGAGTAATTACCCCCCTGTCAATTACCCCCCTGTCGATTACCCCCGCCCAGTAGGACATTACCCCCCTGGACAGAGTTAGAGTTAGGGTTAGGGTTAGGGTTAGGCTTAGGGTTAGGGTTAGGGCTAGGGTTAGGGTTAGGGTTAGGGTTAGGGTTAGGGTCAGGGTCAGGGTCAGGGTCAGGGATAGGGTTAGGGCTAGGGCTAGAGCTAGAGTTAGAGTTAGGGTTAGAGCTAGGGTTAGGGTTAGGGTTAGAGTTAGGGCTAGGTTTAGGACTAGGTTTAGGACTAGAGCTATGGCTAGGGTTAGGGTTAGGGTTAGGGTTAGGGTTAGGGTTAGGCTTAGGTTAAGGGTTAGGGTCAGGGTCAGGATTAGGGCTAGTAATAGGGTTAGGGTTAAGTTTAAACCAATGTCTAGCGTTGGTTTTGGTTTTGTGTGAAGTTTTAGGCTAAGTTGGATGTTTAGGTTTTGGTCTTTTTCTTAAGTTTTGGATTAAATTAGTATATAGGTATATAATTCTAGTTAGAGTTAGGATTCTAACTTGAGAAGGGGGGGGGTAATTCACCGGGGGGGGGGGGGGTAATTGACAGGGGGGTAATTGACAGGGGGGTAATTGCTCCGGGGGTAAATACGGGGGGGGGGGAATGACCGGGGGGGTAATTTCCAGGGGGGTAATGTCCTGTAGCCACTTCGTATATATGAGATAGTAAAAAGAAAAGTAGGCTGAAATCAGAGTCAATGGTCTCAATGGCGCCTAACCAGTTGACACGTATACTTAATTGTATTGAAGGGGATCCCTTCCAACACTAAAATGAAGAACGAAGAAGAAGAGAAGAAGGTTAGATGTTTGTATCCCATGTACCGCTCATTGAACACAATTGACAGCTTTTTAAATTAGCAGTTTTGTAAATATCGGTGTCGAATGTCCCTAAGTTATAAATAATCCATCAATATCTTGAATGGTATGCTGATTAGGATATATATATATATATATATGTATATATATATATATATATATATATATATATATATATATATATATATATATATTGGGCCCCGCCCAAGCTTAATCCGCACCTGCTGTGCATACATTAAATTTTACAATTAGATTATATTACTTACTTATAGTTTGTTGTATGTGTACTTTTAATGATTATCTTTTCTCCAACGGGCCATCTTCTAACAAGAAGTTGGCGATCCTCAAAATTAAAAAGAAATAAACGCTTTTAATTATGAGCAAATGAATGATTTATTTTAAAGCTAGTGCAGAATTTATTTTTACACAAAACTAGCCATCCCAGCTAGTCATCAACATGGTAATTAAAAGGTCAACATGATCATAATTTAAATTGACGCTGCTGCAGAGGTGGAACTAGAAAAAAAAGGTCCCCCACCGCACAGAATTATTTGGTCCTCTACATATGCATATATATATATATGTATATATATATATATATATATATATATATATATATATATATATATATATATATATATATATATATATATATATATATATATATATATATATATATAAATTTAAAAATCCTCAACCTTCTGTATTAATTTAAAAATGAGTTATGAAACAATTACCTTAATCTTGATGTCATGTAATATGAGCTTTATCTTAAACTCAAATTGGTGTGCGGTATAAACACATTTATTGTGATTATAAAAACTGTAATATATGAAATTTTTGTCGGACTTCACCTAAGATTGGACGTTTTTGAAGTTCTTTATATTTTCGGTAACTAAACACTTTTAAAAAAGCCAAAAACAATGTATTTTGTTCTATTTTTCTGAATGAAAGTGTTAAACATACATCGCTTAACTATGTCACGCGTTTTTTTTAAAAAAAAACTTCAATTTTATTTTGAAAAGTTATCGGCAATGCAGAGATCAGATTACCACAAAATGTAACGTACGTTAAACAGTGTGAATATAAAATGGGACTACACACACATTTTTTTTTCGGAATTTCACCGTTTTAGTCTTACATCCTGCACCCCATATAACTTAATGTAAAAAATATTAACCTTCACCTGTTATTCATTTTGCTTTCCATAACGCGTGCAAGACGAAAAACTATTTTTGAAAACAACCTTATTTCTAACTTAGAAATGGATTAATTTTTCCCAATGCATCAAAGCGGGAATAATCTAGAATATTCCATTACATTAAAAAAAAAACGGTTTTCTGTATTAATAAATAAATTGTGGTTATAAGAACTTTATTTTGAGGTTTTTGTCGGAATTTACCTAAGATTGGATGTATTTGATATTTTGAAAATTTTCGGTAACAAAAAAACTTTAAAAAAAGGAAAAAAAAATTGCTTTGTTTTCATTTTCTAAATGAAAGATTAAACCAGACATCTACTGTGTCATGCGTTTTTTTAAAAGTATAAATATAACCCTATCTAAGATACTAAAAATACATTACAAAAAATATTTTTACAAATGTTGATACTTTGCTTCAGTGGCGTAGCCAGGATCGTCTCAATGGGGGGGGGGGGGGTCCAATTTTTACCCGGGGACAAACTTTCGATTTGCACCCCCCCTCAAACTTTCGATTTGCACCCCCCACCCTCAAACTTTTGATTTGCACCCACCCCCCCTCAAACTTTCGATTTTCACCCCCCCCCCCTCAAACTTTCGATTTGCACCCCCCTCAAACTTTCGATTTGCACCCCCCTCGTACTTTTTATATATATACCGAGGTGTCTATGGGGGGGGGGGGGGTTATGACCCCCTAATCCCCCCCCCCTGCCTACGGCACTGCTTTGCTTATTTTACAGTGGTTTATAAATTGGCTCATTCTTTTCTTTTATAACCAAAGTGATTAAAAGTCAAATTTGTTATTGTTTTTTTGACTGCTCCATTGCTTTAAACAACAATTTCTCGTCCCTCCACCCTCACCCCCTGATATATATATATATATATATATATATATATATATATATATATATATATATATATATATATATATATATATATATATATATATATATATATATATATATATATATATATATACATATATATACATATATATATACATATATATATATATATATATATATATATATATATATATATATATATATATATATGTATATATATATATATATATATATATATACTACAGTACAATAAAACATAAATCTCCCCATGTCAGAACAAGTTTTCTTGCTCTACCTCCAGTCCTAATGTAGTCCCATACAATAAAACAAATCTCCCCGTGTCTGTTTATTTTCCCACTCATGTCCACAACAGTCAGCGAAGCTGCAACAATCTGTAGGTAGCAGGTGTTGTTGCTTCGGCCATCTTTGTTCTACGTGTTAAAGAAAAGTGAGTGCCATAACATTTTGAAAAGCTGTTTTCTGGTTTTTACTAGTGCAATAGGTAAGTTCTCCTGTATATTTTACTAGTTTTATTTAAACTTCAAACCTTCATTAAAGTGCAATACAGAGTTTTTAATAAACAAGTTGCACATACTTTACATAACAGTGGCATCAGTTGACAATTTTAAGAAAAAGCACTTTAGTAGAGACGCATTCAAGATTTGTGTCTATGTTATGTAATCAAAGTGGTAATTAAAATATAAAATTACTTTAAGAAATTTCCAGGTTAATTAATTAAAAACTCAATCTATGTTTATAGACGTCGGACCTTCATCGCCATGATGATGCTTCATCTTATGCTCTTTGTATTTCTGTCAAATATCCTTTCCTTTGGTTGTGTGGACACTTATCAGATCCAGACCTTCAACAACAGCACATTTCACCACACTAAACGGTCGTTTGCTGATGGTAAAACAAATGTAAGTGTACATCGATCTAGCTCTGTTTTCTTTAGTTTATGACTTGGTTATTGTTTAATTTGTTTGGTCAAAACTTTATAGAGCTGAAACTTTTTCCACTTTAGAGTAAAAATGCAGTTTCAGACAAAAATATAAACCTAATCGGTTTAGGCCACACCAAATTCTATATTTTATAAAAGGAATTCGCTTGGAGCCGACATACGACAAAATGAAATGAAAAATCAATATTGATTAGGCAACGCAAAATAAAAACGAAAAGAATGACAAAAATAAATATATAAAAATAAGTAAAAATACACATTTAATTACACATATTATATATTATATCTTACATATTGTTAATTTGATCAGATAAATAGTTTGTTAACGAAACTATTACACAAAATATCTGTCATATTTTTATGATCACGTTTTGGTTTATAAAACTACCAAAACATATTCTGAGCTTTGATACAACAACAATTTGTCACGACGAACACAGTTGTCTTAAAAATTGTGTTGTGACTTCTAATCTGATTGTAATCTACGCAGTACCCAATCCCTTACTCTGGGGAAATTCGTTTTCCAATGTACGACGGGAAAGAGGTTATCATTGAAGGAGTGACAACGTCTTCAACGAACAGGTGACTGCATCGTATTTTATTTATTTAAGATGAAAAGTTCCAATTCCTACAGTTTAGGCAGCGTGTGTTATATACGGTTAAGTTTATACTTGATTTAATGGACCCAACGTTTTCCACGAAATGCCGTCCGTCTATTATTGTTATCATGTATAAAAATTGTGTTTTTGTCAATCAATTTTGACTTTATAGCGACCATTTAACAAAATCTCTAAAGCCTAGAAGAATATATCAGATTAGTAATTTTTTAGAAACCGTTTGACTCCGTCTAATGATTAGTTTCAATTTATTTTAAAAGTATTTTAAAGTTATTTAAAACGTATTAAATGTTTTAATAACCAAAATTTATTTATTAACACCGCAAACCAAATTTTAAATATGTAATGAAATATTCGAGATTATTCCTGGTTATTCAAATTTCAAATTTATTCAAATTTATTCAAACAACGGTTACAATTGTAGGCACAAAGGCCTTTTTTCACATTGGCCGTTCAAACAAATAACACAATTCAATAACACATAGCAGTAACAACATAGCACTAAAAATGTGGAATAAAGAAACAATGTTACATAGCTATCATACATAATGAGATAAAAAAAGAGAATATAATAGATGAATGAGAAATGTTACAATGAGTCAGTTAGGTCATTAAATAGTTTTAGTTTTAGTTTAGATTTGAATATATTTTCAGATCTAGATAGCTTTATTTTATTAGGAAGATTGTTCCACAAATTAGAACCAGAGTAGGCGAAGCTATGTTTTTGGAAAAAGGTTAAATAAGGGAATGGTAAATTAAGACGGCGATTTAATTTTATGTTAAAAGAAAATAGATTTGACAAGTAAGAGGGGGCTGTTTCGTTAGGAAAAATTAATCAATTAATACGTTAAAAATAAGGTTGTTTACAAAAATAGTGATTTATCTTGCACACGTTCTGGGAAGCAAGTTGCATAACAGTTGGCTTTTATTAATTTTTACAGTATGTTATATGGTGCAGAATGTGAGACTAAGAATGTGAAATTAGAATTAAAAACATGGGCGTAGACCCGTTTTGTATTCATACATTTTAACGTACGTTATATGAGATTCAGAATACATGCATTACATAGTAATAATATAATTGTTCTAGGTTCATAGTTGAGTTGTGTCCGAGAGCTGACTGCAGCGATGACAAACAAATGTATATGAGTGTTTGGAAGAATACAGGAAAAATTCAAATTAGTTCTAAAAAAAACGACACATGGGGACCGAAGTACACGTTTGAAGCCGCGTTACTAATGACTGGAACTGAAATTAAGATAAAACTCATAATACATGACAACAATATTAAGGTAATTGTTTCATAAATCGTTTTTAAATTAATACAAAAGGTTGACGATTTTAAAATTTTTCTCAATAGCTTTTTCAAAAAATTACTGGCTTTAGTCTAGTGATAATTAATTTTGTATTCACCAGATTTACTTTAAAGACGATTTGCTTACAGACTTGAGTCTACTAGGTGTAAACAAAGAAACAATTAAATACGTATCACTGCAAGAGAGTATTTTTGTGGAATGGATACTGTACAGTGTATGTACCTAATGCAGTATAATTATACGGTTTAAAATTAATCTTTAATATTGAATTCAGAATTCTAAATAAAAAAATTCAAAATTCAAAATTCAAATAAACATTTTTGCCACACTACCGTTTAGTACACCCCAGTGCGTGTTTTATGAAAGCCTTGAGTGTAGGTTTACCACTCTCCGTAATAATGCGTTAAAACACACTACGCAACCTCCCTGATATTACGGACGTAGTAGGACTCGCTCTGGACTCCCGATTACACTACCGCAGGGGTCCCGCGTACGGCCCCTGGCTTGATTTAATCACCGGAAGTAGTGTGCCACGGTGCCAACACGGTAGGGTGTCAGGTGTACTACTTAATTCGACGGTAAAACTGCACCAGATGCATCAGCCGGAGTTAGGGCGGTTAAGTTTCCTGAGCACTGCGGGCTCCTCCGTGAGCAATATGGCGCCGACGTTCGATTTAAAGAGTGCAATAAACTAATAAGACCATGCGTTACTATTAGGGGTAAACTGGTTGAGTCCAAGATTTTAAAGGGACCCAACGCCGGGTTAGATTTTTCATTGTGCATTTTTCCCCCACCAAAGTATGAATTTACGAATCAATAGAAAAAATTTGAAATGACCGGGATTTTTCACGGGTGCCCCCGTCTGAGATCGGATTACCCGGAGCAGGATGGGTTACTTATGATCGATAATGGGCCACATTAGTTTTAAAGAGCACCCGTCGACACTGTGGTACTTTAATCGGTTTATTTCTAGAGCGCCTCCACGACGACCTTGACACTTGAGCGGTCGCCATGGTGTGCTCTACCTTATTATTATGGAGGTAAATAACGTACACTTAAGGCGTTAACACAGGACGTCCTGTGGGGGGTTAGGTCTGGGCGAGAGTGTGAACAAACCCGCGCTCAAACAACTCAGATCCAATATAGCACAAGTGCGGTTAACACTTGAATAACTCAGTCTCAGAAACACAAAGACTAAAATTACACCATTGGTAACGCATTGATGAAATCCTCTTAAAATATTGTGTCAGCTTGCAGAAACCCGCGCGACGGGTACGCTAGCATCCTATTTAATACGTGGCTTATTTCGTCTAGGTAATCTCGGAAACCACCGTTTGCACTACTGCATTCACCGAGAAATCACCTTAGTTCGGTATTATGGTCGAATGTTGTGTCGCTATTGTAGGATGCTCTTTAAAACAGAAGTAGGCGCCACAACTGCTAACTGAGGAGAACGCGATGCTGCAGTCAACCGATCGCCGAGTCGCCGGTGGACGCGCCTGATTTGATTAGTCAGCGATTATTGTAGCCCATTGTCTCCGTAGTGTATCAGACTCTTAAATCGAACTTAGGGTCCGTTGTGCCAATGTTGGAGCTTGTGGCAGCAAATCTAACGAAATTCAATAGTATTCCTTAACGTATTACTAATAATTATTTTAAGAATGGTAGTCCCATCCCAGTTTTTGTGTCAGAATTTTTAAATTGGTAAAGTGAAGCAGCAAAATTAATAATTTTTACATGGCTAATTCCTTGATTATTTGAAATTCAAAGAAAAAATTCTATTCACAAATAATTCCATCCGTCATCAACATACAAAGTATGTATATATCTATATTCTATTTAAAAAAAGAAAAAAATTAAAAGAAAAGTAAACACAAAAATAAAATATTAAGAAAACAGTTAAATTAATATGGCACAAAGTTTTAGCTAATATTAGAATTAATTATTCCTTATGTTTTTGTTTCAGATAGCCTTTCCTGTAAGTACATTAAGGTTGACTGCGAATGAAATATTTGTTTTAATTAATACTTCTATTATATATATATATATATATATATATATATATATATATATATATATATATATATATATATATATTTATAAGTTTGGGTAAAAAAAACCAAAAATAGATTTAGTCTACTCGAGGACGTACCAGAAGAGGACACCAATACACATTGCGAGAAGATCCTGGATGTATATACGAAACAAGCCAATGTATACTAAGACACAGGAAAAAACAAATGAAGGAATGGATCTCAAATGATACTTGGAATCTCATTGAAAAGAGAAGAGAAGCAAAAATAAAAACACTAACTGGAACCGTGGAAAGCAGGGTACGGAACGATGTAGAATATAGAAGACTGCAAAAAGAGGTAAAAAGGAATGTTAGGAAGGAAAAGATAAATTAGGTAGACACATTGGCTACAGAAGCACAGGCTGCAGCTGATAAGGGAGATAGCAGAACAGTCTAAAAGATCATCAGGACTCTAACAGGCGGAATAGCAAATAGATCATCTACTATCAAGGACAAAAACGGGAGAATTCTCACAACGGAGAAACAACAACTAACAAGATGGGCTGAATACTTTGAAGAGACCCTAAACAGACCAGATCCAGAAGAAACTGCTGACTTCACTAACATAAGCCTACACTTCGAAATGTATAGAGGACCCATCCTAGAACAAGAAATAATAGAAGCTACTCAAAAAACAAAAAGCAATCAGGCTCCAGGATAGGACAGAATCACTACGGAGATGCTAAAGGCAGACCCAAAAATAGGTGCAGAAACTCTATCAGGGATCTTCAATAAAGTATGGAATGAAGAAAAAGTCCCAGATTCTTGGAAACGGGGAATCATCATTAAATTACCCCAAAAGAGCGACCTTAATGTTTGTGAGAACTGGAGAGACATTAACCTTCTGTCAGTACCAGGAAAAATCGTCTTATTACAAAGAATAAGGAAAGGAATTAATGCAAGCCTTCGTGAAGAACAAGCTGGCTTCAGGGCCAACAGGTCATGTAATGACAAAATATTCGTCTTGCGCACTATAGTGGATCAGTCCCTGGAGTGGAATTCGTCTCTCTACATCAACTACATAGATTTTGAGAAAGAATTCAATAGCATCCACCACCCATCATTATGGAAGATACTAGAGCTATATGGCTTCCCAGGAAAAGTCATAAACATACTTAAGGACATCTACTATGACAACCAATGCTGTGTGCGACATGAAAATCAGCAAAGTGAATGGTTCAAGGTAAAAACAGGAGTCAGGCAGGGCTGTGTCATCTCACCTATCATCATTTTGGTGTCATAGACTGGATTATGTGAAGAGCCACTGAGGATAAGCCAAGAGAAATTGTTTGGGAACTTACCAACCACCTGGAGGACTGTGACTTTGCTGATGACTTGGCTTTACTCTCACATGCCCAAAAAGACATCCAAGCAAAAACCACGAAAATAGAGCAAATTGCTAAAAGCGTTGGGCTAAAGATAAACTCCGGGAAAACCAAAAGTGCTCTCAAGACCTTTGCTAATGGAGCAGAGCTAGAAGAGGTCGAAGACTTTAAGTACCTCGGCAGCTATATATCAGCAAATGGCAGCATGGAGAAAGAAATAGCCACCAGAATAGCAATGGCAGCACAGGCTTTAAACAGACTTGCTAAGATCTGGAAATCATCATCACTGCAGCATAGAACTAAAATAAGGATCTACAAGTCTAATGTACGTTCTGTACTCCTCTATGCTGCAGAGTCATGGAAACTAAACAAGAAAGGAGAGATCCGACTTAGAGGCTTTGAAAGAAGATCCCTCCAACGTATCCCCAGATTAAAGTGGGACGACAAAGTCCAGAACAAGGAAATATGGCGAAGGACAGGATTAAACGACATTGTTTCAGAAGTTCGAATGAGGAGATGGAGCTGGCTGGGCCATGTCCTACGCATGAGCAAAAGAAGACTCCCCAACATGGCGCTGATTTCGAACCCGCCTGGAAAGCGAAAGAGAGGAAAACCACTGGGAACATTGAGAAGAGAGATGGAAGAAAAAGTGCAGGCTACTGGCAAGACCAGGCATGAACTGAAGCGGCTCGCCCAGGACAGAGTGGAATGGCGGAGAATTGTTGCTGCCTTATACTCCACAAAGAGTGATGAGGATTAAGTAAGTAATTATATGTATATATATATATATATATATATATATATATATATATATATATATATATATATATATATATATATATATATATATATATATATTTATATATATATAAGTTTGGGCCCAAAACCCCAAAAACATTTCTGCAGGGGTGGGGGGGGGGGGGGGGGGGTTGCTGTTTTTCTAGTCCCATCACGGCAGAATACCTTTTAAATTATGATTTTGTTGACCTTTTAATTGCCTTGGCTATGACTGGCCGGAGTTGGGTTACATTTTTAAAATTCTGCACTGGCATAATTAATTTATTTGTCTCAAATTATAAGCTATTAATTCTATCCCATTATGAGGGTCACGTACTTCCTGTTAAAAGATGGCCGGTTGGAGAAAAGATAATCATTAGAGGAACACCAACAGGGAACACTGTGTAAGTGTTATAATTAATTTGTACATGTACATTAATGCACAATTGAATGTTTACAGAAGTTAACAGTTTATTTATGTTACTATCACTTAAAAAAACACTTTTATTCTTTTTAATTTAATTATTTAAAAAAAACTGTATATGCACGATTACAATGCTCCCTTTATACTCTGTAAAAAGTAAAGAACGGACATGTTTTAATTATCTCAAAAAGAACAAGTTCAGTGAATGTTTCTACTCCATTCTTAAAAAGAATTCCTTCTCTTAAATATTATTAATATAAGGCACATAAAAATTGACAGCTATATTACGGAATTAGTTTCAAACTAAATATTATAAAAGCGAAAAAGCATAAGAATAAAACGAACACGAAAAAGCATTAGAGATATCTAACTTCCGTGTTTCATACACTTTTGATGTTAAAATTTATTGCAATTTTCCACGGGCATAAATGAGATCAATACGGTTTTTACTTTCTCGTGTATACATTGTATAGTGAAAGTATTGTAATCGTGAAAAAAATAAAATAAAAAATAAAGATTTTTGCAAATCTCGACGTTTTACACCTCCCTGAGTCGGAAAACATAATTTTGCAATCTTGTCCGCATGTCTTTGTGTGTGCATGTATGTGTGTCTGTAAACACGATAACATAAGTACCGTTATAGCTAGAATGTTGAAATTTCATATATAAGTATAATATAAAATTTGTAGATCCGTATACACTTTAGAAAAATGTCCGATAACCGGAAGTGGAACGTTTTCTAATTTTAATTTTTCAAAGGCCTATAACTTGAGTACTCTTTCAGATAGATAAATGAATTTTCGCATAATAGTAAAAGATATAATTTTCTGCCTACTCTCAATCTTTGAGTAATTTCCACTTTCCGGAAGTAGTAATTTACGATTTAAAAAAAAACGCATTTGAATTTATAAAGTACTAATAATATCCCACACTATTATGCACATTTTGTTTGGAGTTCACTTGGTGTGCAATTCTTTTTTTTTCTACGAGGTTCCATTCTATTATAAAACGTTTAAGTAATTAAAAATTGATTAAAAATATTGTCTATATCTCGAGTTGCATTCCCCAGTAGTGTAGTTGTATAAGAATATTCGAGAACGTTTAGGGGAGATCACTCCCGGTTCATTATTTATTATTTCAGGCAAGAAATTAGTTGAGCTTATTTCTGTGTTTCTTTTTCGTCTAATACCAGATCTGCTTTGCAATGAAATATGCTTAAGAACTACGTTAGGAAGATGTTTAATGTAAAATTTAGTCTACTGTAAGCCCTGCTCGGGGGCTGGGAGGGGGGATAACTACTATCTATCTATCTACCCTTCCCTAGGCTTATCTAAATTAACTGCCCGGTCAGTGCAACAGTGGTAGACCCACGGTGGTGACACCCTAACCTTAGTCTAGATAAAAACACAAAAAAACTTTAACAATTTAATAAAAATTATTTAACAGAAATGGAACCAATAATAAAAACGTAAACATTAAGACAAATTCAAAACATCCTAATCCAACTCTAAACAAACAAAACACACAACGTTTGATGGGATATTATGTACCTTCGATGTCTCGGATAGTCTAAGCTCTGACCACACAGACCACCTTCCGATCCCCTACGACAACCGAAACGCCATCTAATATCTACACCACATGTCAAAAAAAAAAACAACAACAAAACACTACATACAAAATAATACGTACCAAACAATACGTACTAAACACCCAGCCAGGTTGCACAAGCAAATTCACTTGAAGGGAGGGGGGGGGGGGGGGGGAAGAAAAGAATAAAAAAAAAACATAAATAAAATGCATGTAAAATATATATAGACATATATAGACATGTTTAACATACTACCTACTACTACTAAAGATACCTAGCTAAAGTTTCGAGTGAAATACTGATCCCTACTACTAACACTAATCTTAGACTACTAAAATCCATTCTCAAAACCACAACTAACGACTGTCTTACCAAGAAAATAGCAAATCAAAAATAACGTGTAAAACAAACTCATTGTAGAACCAATCTTTCCTACACCAGGAGCAGCCCGAAGCCATTGGTCTACCTACACAACATCTACATTGATAACAATAAAGTTAACACACCCCGTTAAGGCCCCAATAAAGGCAGACACAAAGCAAGTGCTGCTCAACATGACGTTGCACAAAACATCACACACATTAAATTTAAGGTAAACTAAAACTCGAGAGACAAACTAAAATGTACTAAGAACTGTTTTAGACAACTACAACAAAATTACTTGTTACTAAGCCCAACTTAGTCATCGTGGGGAACCCACAATAACAATTGATTAAAATAATAAAGTAAAATACACACACGCATTCACACCAGTTTAGGAAACACTCCTAAACATATCGACCTAAATAACGTGGTCCAAAAACACACGCCAAGGGTTTAGGAAAAACAAAAGTAATTTTAAAATCTTTAGAAAACGAGAAAAATCGGCAGTCGCTTTCATACCAATCACAAATATAAAAAAAATATATAAAAAAAATACCTCCACGCACTAGGTGCGCCAAGCGCCCACACAGAAACTGACCAGAACTACATTCTGGTTATATGGTGAAAAAGAACTAATTCTGGCAGTCACTCGGCCTTAAATACCATGTGACTTGGCGGAAGGGGAAACATATATAGGGAAATGTATATATTAGGGGAAATATATATATATATATATATATATATATATATATATATATATATATATATATATATATAAATATATATATATATATATATATATATATATATATATATATATATATATATATATATATATATATATATATATATGAAAATTTATAGCGGCCCGGCACAGTGCTGACCCTTCATATCGTTATTGTTGTTGTCTTCGTTATCTATGCGGTGTTGGTGTTAGTTAATTATACCACTTCAGTGATCAAAAGACGTGAAAAGTTATAAACAGTAATTGAGTTATCTGAATCATTCAGTAATAAAAAAAAATGTTGTATTGCCATAAGCTAACGTGGCTGGTTAATTAACATCAATACTGCTTTCTTTGGAAGCTCAGTACCCATGACTGCAAACTTGAAATGAACACTTGTCAAACGATATCTACGGTGTGATCTTGTTCATTGTTTGACTTTTCTTGAAAGTAATTT